GGGGCCAGGCGGCACCTGCCCCGCCGCTCACTCCCGCTTGCTCTCTGCCCCGGAGTCGGGTTCTAATTTACACACGCAAGACACCAACTGGTGATTAAAAAAAAAAAAAAAGCGAACAGAAGATGTGTGACACCCAGAAGATCTCTCGGGCAAGCTTCCTCGGCTCCCAGGGAAGCGCCAGAGGGTCCCCGCCACCGCCCACCTCCCCAGCCCGCGCGCATCGAAGCTAATCGAATCACAGTAAAGCGCTGCTATCTCGAAAACTGTCTGAGAGCTAAAGCGCTGGGGTGCGCACCGTGTAGATGGGCGGGCGGCTGCCCAGAGCGTGAAGGAGGGACGGGGTGGGGGAGGCCCGAGTTCTGCCCCAGGACAAGAAAATCTTCGCTTTCGCACCCGGGACAAGTCGTAAGTTAATGCCTTAAAAATGGGTGCTGCCGGCTTCCTCCCTGCCCTGCTGCGCCTGCTGCTTATTTGAAATGAACATGACATATTACATAGACACTGGCTCGCCTGCCTGTCTGGGTCTCTGTTTGTAAGGTTGTACATCACAGCGCTTTGCTGTCAGCTTAACGGGGAACAAAGAGGCTTTGAGCGCATTTCCTCTGAGGGGGCTCAGGCACTCACACCCAGACACGAGGTGCTTCCACTGCGCCTCTGGCTCAGCACTGGGGATCCTTATCCATGCAGCCCTTGCCAAGGACGAGGAAAACCACCCTAGTCCTTTACTGCCTTCTCAGCCCTAGGGGGTGTGTGGTCAGGAAGGGAGGTGTGGTCAGGAGGGGGGGTGTGGTCAGGAAGGGGAGAGCGTGGTGAGGGGGGGGTTGTGGTCACTGGAGGGGTGTGGTCGGAGATTAAGACCACAGAGCAAAACCAGCCTCATGGTTACAAAATTAGAATAAAGCTCCTTTTCTCATCCCCCCCCCCCAAAGCAGTCTGCAAACTGCTAGTTGTGTGATGGTTAAACTCCAACACCCAAGCCTAATTTTCCCCTGGATAAGAATTGTACCAAAGCACATATTCCAGAATTTCCTTTATTTCCTCCCTCTTGGCATGAGTCTGCAAGTCTGCCCTTGTGGCTCCTTCCTGCTGCCTGGAATAGTGACGTGCCATTTACAGTTTTAAAACCTCTCCTTTAGTAGAACTGTGCTTTATTGAAAATATTTAGGACTTTTGATGCCAAAAGTAAAAGCCAAGCTCGATGCTGCCTGTGGGGTGAGTGGCAGAGGAGGTTCCGCCTGATAAAGCGGATGGTGGGGAGCAGGAAGCAGAGGAAGTCGCTGCCCTTCCCCGGGTCAGGCACGCAGCCCATTCAGCGCAGAAGCTAATTTGGCTGCTGGCATTTTCAGTGCAGATGACTTACTCCATCTCTCAGTAGCTGGGGCCACAGGCACTATTTCGCCAGCAAAAAGAATCAGGAAAATGAGGTAGGTAGAGACTGATGATTTTCATGACCTAATCAATATTTGGGTAGCTTAGGTTCTTAGTTGTTTTATGATCAGTTCTTTCCTGGAAGTGGTATGTGTGTGTTGTGATAAAACAAATTTTAAAAACACAGACATGAAAATGTAGATTACTAGATATGGCTAAATGGATGAAGAAAATTCTTAAGTGTTTTCCTAACTAGAAGAGCTGACTTTGCGAACTGTGCCCATGAGGTGGAAGGAATATCTCTGTTGTTGTCCTAGAGCTTTGGGCTGTTCTTTCTCAGCAGATGATTTTTCTAGGTTACACTTGCAATTCATGAACAGCTCTACAGTGCAGCCTTATAACACTAACAACACAATCTAGCAATATCTAGTATCTTTCTGGAAAGGCTTCCAATATTTGTGACTTCCAGAGTTACTTTCTCATACTGCTATTGCTTGTAAAATTCAGCAACAACACTTCTGCCAAAGCAACAGACACAGAGACTTGTTGCTTCTCCAGCCTGCAGGGGAAAGGCGAGGAGGGCTGCCAGCAGGTGCTTCGCCTGTCGGCGAACAGCAGCTCCTCTCTCTTTCCAGGCGAGGAGGAAAGAGAGTATGCGGTGGGCACCCTCCTAAAGCAGTCCGGGCTTCTAGAGGTATGCCGTATGTGCTTCTGTTGACAGAGTGCTGAATAGCCATGCTCTTTTTATAAAAAACATCTGAAATTTATGTGGCTGTATATGATTAGAATATTTGGGGTTGAAATGTCGAGATGGGAGATGCTTTAAAACTGAAGAAAATATTTTCTATGGAAATAATCTTTGCTGTTCCTTCAAGAGGTTGGAAGGAATGCAGGTGAAGTCCTATTAGCTTTGAAGGAAATAGGACACTCCTGCAGGCATAGAGGTTTGCCAAGATAGACCTGGCTGTCCTTCAAAGTAACAGGCTCTAAAATCCTAACTCATTATTTAAAATTTTTAGAATTAAGGAGGTCACAACTCAGATGCTTTCCATCTCAGTGTAAATGTAGAGGGATGACATGAACTAGTAACACTCTGGCCATTAGGTTAACAACGGAGATATGAGTGAAGTAACTGATGATAATTTTTCTTTCTGCCCAAATGAGAAACGACTGGCATCAAGGCCCCGGGAGTCCTTGCCATTTCACAGGTCTTCCAGCTGGATGACCGCTGAGAAGGGTAAGGCCAGTGTCCTTCAAATAAACGCACATTCCTGAGGCTGGAAAAAAGAACAGAACCCCAATTTAAGCACTTTCCACATTCATAATTGCACTGACACTGGAACTAGTGCTGTGATGTAAGTGGGACTGATCTTCCTCACTCTTTTGTTGAGCAAAATAATATGTAATAGATGCACTGAAAACTCCACCTGTATGGTATACACGTATCGTACACCAAATGGACAAAGCCCACCTGGAAAATCTTTCTAAAAATCAATCACAGGCAAAATACCTGATCCCTGAAGAGGCCTCTGGAAAAGCATGTACACTGTCTCCAAGTGTGATACTGCTTTCTTAAAAACATTCCTTTAACACCACAAGCTTTCTAAACATTCCTAATCTATTTTACTTTTTCATCATACCGTTTGCAAAACTAAAACACTTTTAAGGTCCTACTGGGCCAACATTTAGCAAGTGCAGCTTCCTTTAGCGAGTGTTCCTGCGTGCCGCGTAAGCTAGCTCCGCGGGCAGCACAGTGCGGGGAGCGTCACCGCCAGCACTGGTGCCCGGCGTGATGAAACCCCCCCAAGTACATTTTGCACAAAAGCCACATTCACGTATCCATGGGGTCTCTGGTCTCCCCACCCTCTCAGTCTGCATGAAATAGCATTCGGACCAGCCTCTGAGGGAGACCTATGCTGACACGTTTTTAGTCACCGCCTGCGTATGCTTAAAGAGCGAGAACAATAAAAACATACTTGGCTCTTGGTCATTTGATAGTTGGGATTATTTGGTGCGGTTTGTTTGTTTTTTGTTTTGTTTTGTTTTTTTTTTTAGTTACATGAAAAGTTTTCTAACAAGTTCTCACTCCCAGAAGCGTCATCTCACCTGCACAAGCCCCCTGACCCTGGCCCTCTCCTCAAAGCTCTTTCCTCCCTTCTCCCTGCATCCGCTTCCAGGACGCACTGCCATCCCCCAGTCATCAACCCCCTCTTGCTACGACCAGACACCAGAGGCAACGCGTACAGGAGACAGGGAGGAAGCGGAAGGGCGGAGAGGTTGCGAGAGGCCAGAAACGTGACGGGGAGGAGCGGGGAGGGCTCCGAATCCGAGAAGGGAGATGGTGGATGGCGGCTCAGGGAACAAATCCTGCAAAGAAAGCAACTTAGGCAACTAAAGCAATTCTCTGCAGTGCTTCCACCGCGAGAAGTCTTTCTCACTGCGTCCCCAGAAGCAGCTGCGAGGACACTGCCGTCTGGGCCACGCTGGGGAGGAGCGTTCACGGGTCCCCGCGTCTGTCCGCCATCACGCTGGGAAGTGGGTGACAGTCCTTCACTGAGAAACAGCATCCAGAGAGCACCTGCACACCTAGTGCCAACCACGCCCTTCCTGTCTTGTCAGCACCCAGAGCCCAGGCCCACGGGTCCGCGGGAGGGCGTCCTCCGGCTCCAGGCGGGGACGGTGGCCTTGCCCGAGACTTTCAGACATAAGCTGTGGCTCAGTAAGGAGAAGACCCCCGTGGTAACGTTTTGCTCAGAGGAGGAGTCCATTTCTCTTCCATCACAGAATGAAGGCCAGCACTGGCGCTGGCCACCTCTGACCACCGTCTCCATCCCAGACGCCTTCCTTCCCACACGCCACCTTGACCACAATGTTCTCACATCCCCCATGACGGCGTGAACCATGCCCAGCAGGCTCCAAGAATGAACAGATGCTGTGGATGAAACCTGTGAGCTGGCGTCTGCTTGATCCTTGCTGGAGGGCGCTCGGCCTGCACCTGACCCCTTTCACTCTCCAAACCCACTCCCACCTGACACCAGCCCCCCTCGTAGCTTCCCCCAAAGCGAGGCTACATGTCCTTGCTAGAGATTTACCTGACAAATTACCTAGCTGTTAACAAGGCTAGTTGCTATTTTCTCCTTATAAAACTGTAAGATTTATAAGGGCAGGAAAGATTCTTTTCTCATCATTGGTTTTCACGGGCCTCCCAGAGTGTCTGGTCCTGGATTTAGAGGGGCTCGAATGAACAGGTGTCAACTTGAACAGATTTGCTGTTTTCTCTACTTTCAAACCCATTAAAAAAAATTTTCCACACTCTGTCAGGAGGGCGTTACTAAAATCTATACCATATGTGGTTAAAAAACACCCAGTAGCATCTCTGTGAATGGCACAGAGAAATTAGGGAACTGCCAGCCTCTCAAGCCCAAACTGGAATGAATGTTCCACTCTCAAAGTGCTTCTTTCTTGGATTCCATTAAGAAATCAACACATCGCCATTTGATATCAGAGTTGGCCTCGAGAGGATGCAGCAGCATCTAATATACTCGAGGGCTGCATTAGATGCAAGTCAGTCCACTTAGCACACTGAAATGCCCAGAACAGGATTCGTTCACCATCTCTCTCTCTTCCTACAGCTGGGGCGCGGACAACAGGCTGACGCACCGGCGACAGACCATCCTCCGGGAGAAGGGGCGGCGGCTGGCCACCCGCGGGCCAGCCTACATGTTCAGTGACCGCTCCACCAGCCTGTCCGTGGAGGAGGAGCGCTTCTTAGACGCAGCCGAGTATGGCAACATCCCCGTGGTGAGGAAGATGCTGGAAGAATGCCTCTCCCTCAACGTCAACTGTATGGATTACATGGGCCAGAATGCCCTGCAGCTGGCAGTGGCCAACGAGCACCTGGAAATCACAGAACTTCTTCTCAAGAAGGAGAATCTCTCCCGGGTGGGGGATGCCTTGCTTCTGGCTATCAGCAAAGGCTACGTCAGGATTGTGGAGGCGATTCTGAGTCACCCCGCCTTCGCCGAAGGCAAGCGGCTGGCCATCAGCCCCAGCCAGTCTGAGCTCCAGCTAGACGACTTCTATGCCTACGACGAGGACGGGACACGCTTCTCGCACGACGTGACCCCAATCATCCTGGCCGCCCACTGCCAGGAATACGAGATCGTGCACACCCTCCTGCGGAAGGGGGCGCGCATCGAGCGGCCCCACGACTACTTCTGCAAGTGTGGCGAATGTAACCAGAAGCAGAAGCATGACTCCTTCAGCCACTCCAGGTCACGGATCAACGCCTACAAGGGCCTGGCCAGTCCTGCGTACCTGTCGTTGTCCAGCGAAGACCCGGTGATGACGGCATTAGAACTCAGCAATGAGCTCGCCGTACTGGCCAACATCGAGAAAGAATTCAAGGTAGGTCTCTGGCTGGGGAGGACCACGCCTTCCACTGGCCAGTCAAGGCATGTTCTGAGTTTCCCCTGTCTGCTGCCACTGTGGACAGTCGGAGACTTCATGGGTTTTTCCAACAATCTTTTCATTGTATTTTGGGTAGTAATTGTGCTCAATACCAGCTAATTAGATCTACTGTACATTAAATATTTCACATTTACTCCATCTGATCCCCAGCACAACCTGGAAAGGGATTAGTTGCTTTTTAAATGGAAGGGTAGCAAGATAAGATAAGGCTCAAGATAAACAACTTGTGAATGAAGCAAGAGTCAGAATCCAGACTGTTCTGTATTCAGTACGTGGTAACAGATGCTACTGAGGCCAGAAAGAGTAAAGCAAGTCAGAGTTTGACTTGGGAGCAGATGCATCTGTAAATAAATATGGGGTGAAGGCATGAAGATACCTGAAAGAGCAGCAAGGCATGTGCTTAGCAGTTCAGAGAAGGCAGCATTTAACTGGAGTAGGTGTTGGGGAGCGGACTCAAGAGGTGACATTTCAACTGCACATGGCAGGATGAGCAGGACTTTGGAGGCAGAGAAGGAGGGAAAGGCCTTTTAATATTTTGAGAGATCTCCATACTGGCTTCCATAGGGGCTTCGCTAGTCTACACTGCCTGCAACAGTGTACCAGGGCTCCTATCTCTCCAAACCTTCACCAACACTTGCTGTCTCTGGTCTTTTAGATGTGGGCCATTCGCACAGCTGGAGGTGGTATCTCCTTGTGGTTTTGATTGGCATGTCCCCAGTGATAAGTGATGGTGTGCTTTGTTTCATGTGCCTCTTGGCCATCTGCATGTCTTCTATGGAAAAGTGTCTGTTTAGTTCTGCATTTTTGATTGGTTATTTATTTTCTCTTTGTTGAACTACATTAGTTCTTCGTAGATTGTGACTATCAGGAAATATTTTCTCCCATTCAGTAAGGTGTCTTTTAGCAAGTTAACAAGTTTCTTTTGCTATGCAGAAGCTTTGTAGCAAGGCAGAGTCCCAATCATTTATATTCTCTTTTGTTTGAATTGCTATCGGAGACAAATCCACAAAATTATCAATCATTGAAGCTTATGTATTGGAGACTTTCGCATATATTTTCTATGTAATTTATGGTTTCATGTCTTACACCAAGTCTTTTATCCATTTTGAGTTATATTTTTATATGGAGTGAAAAAGAGGGCTGATTTCATTCTTTTGCGTTTGGCTGTCCAGTTTTCCCAACACCATGTATTGAAGAGACTTTCCTTTCTGCAAAGTATATTCTTTGCTCCTCTATCTTAAATTAACTGTCCATGTAAGTGTGGGCTTATTTCTGGGATATCAACTGCATTTCATTAGCTTGTGTCTCTCTTTTTGTTATAATACCTTACTGTTTTGATTATTATGGTTTTTGTAGTAGAAATGTTTTGATTATTATAGTTTTGCAGGATAAAGCCCGGGAGCGTGATGCCACCATTCTTCCTCTTTTTTGTCAGGATTGCTTTGGCAATCTGGGGGCACTTGTAGCTCCATAATCACATGAAAGCTTTATCCATGTGTTATAACCAACATGCTGTGAAAATTTTGAGTCCTAAAAAATCTTCCCAAGTCACATTAAAAGAATCGGATTTAAAGCAGTATACACACATGTTGATTTCAATGAGGCACAACTGAAACTTAAATAATGTTACTATGCAGTGCTATGTCAAGTAAAAAAAAAAGAAGAATCTTCCTCACTAAGTAAAAGGGGTCCTGGACTTAATTCCAGTGCAGGTGTGTCTGGAGGCTTCCCCCACCAACAGGCAGTTAACAGCAGGGTGTCTGAGAATTCAACTCAGACAGCTTAATTCTCACACTATCTGTCCAGAGACAACATCAGGCTCCACAGGTAAAGGGCTGCTTCCAAACTACCCTCCACTTCAGACAGCAATCACAAGCCTAGGATGTCACTGTGCTTCTAACTGACAAGCTATAAATAAGAGGTTTCATGACCTCTCCTCAAATCCCATTGATTTGTTAGAGTGGCTCACAGAACTCAGGAAATCTGTTTACTAACTAGATCACCAACTTCTTACAAAGAACATAATGTGGGGACAGCAGCTGGAAGCGGTGCATAGGGCAAGGTAATGGGTGAAGGACATGGAGCGTCCATGCCCTCTCCAGGTGTGCCATTCTCCCCACACCTCCAGGTAGTCACCAATCTGGAGACTCTTTGAACCTGCTCCTTTTGGTTTTTACAGCAGTCTTACTCTTTAGGCAAGATGGATTAACTCACTGGCCTTTGGTTATTGAGTCAACATCCAGCCCCACTTCTCTCCCTTTGGGGAAGGGGAGGGACGAAAAGTCCAAACCTACTAGTCACCTTGGTTCTCATGGCAACCGGTCCTTAGGTGTTTTCCGAAAGTCCCTCCATCCACGTACTGTAAAGCACCTTTATCACTCTCAGCACTTAGGACATTTCAAGGGTTTTGAGCCAGGAACTGTGAGCCAGGAACTGTGCATTAAGAACAAAGACAAATCTTATTAGTCATAATTTTCTGCCTAACCCATTTGAGAGGCCTTTCATTCTAGGTAAAATAATACATCCTAAAGATGAGTATCCAGAATAGCTTAAAAGAATCACTTACACTTAAACACAGGAAGAAGTGGTTTTTGCATCAATATTTCCTACAGATGCCTCTCGTTGAACTCTCATTCAGGAGGGGTGTATTCTCTGACAATCATCCGTGAATGAAGATGGGAAGCACATGAAACCTAAGTTGTTGTTCTGATCCCCACAAGGCACCAGAGAGCTGAATTCAGAGCACCCCAAAATGAACCAGCATGTTAACTTCTGCCACTAAGCTTCATCTTCAACAGAAATGTGGATTAGGGCAGGGAAATACAGAAAGCTCTGTCGTTTGCTACATAATTGGGTGAGTGTGGAGTTATTTTGTAAAGGGGTGAAAGACATTTCCAAGGAAATCAGTTTTAGGAAAGTCAGTGTGGAAAGTGAGTCCCTTAAAGCGATAGTGTTCAACAGTTTTATGGGACATGTTTACACACGCTGCATGAAGACAGCTCATCGATTTTATAGGAGTTGGATAGTGAGGACTCTCACAGGGATTCTGTAAGTTCCACTATATAGTTTCACTAAGCTCCCCCCAAATTCTCCCTTTCCATAAAACAGCCCACTGTCCATTAACAAAAGAGCGAGAGGACTTGCTACAGGGTTGTGCAGGCAATTTCAGTCTTGCACCTTGAATCTTCTGCACCAAACACTTATTTATTGCCCATATCACCAGGTGTGTGGCTGGCTTCATGCAAAGGCGACAATCAGACCACAGCAGAGAAACCAAACTACAGGTGGAGCCAGAGGAACAAGAAGGAAAGCAATAGGCCCGAGGAGAAGTAGATCTTTAAAGGGAGTGGGGCACAAACTGGCCTGTCAAGACCTGTCGAGAATATGCTAGGGTGGGTGGGGGCCGGGGCTCTGGCGAGAGCGGTCAAATGTATAAACTTCCAGGAATAAGACAAACAACTACCAGGGATTTAATGCACAACATCGTTCCTATCACTGTGTGCGATATTTGAAAACTGCTAAGAGAGTAGATCCTAAAAGCTCTCACCCCAAGGGGGAAGAAGCACTTTCCTTTAATTTTATTATTATTTTTCTTTGCGTCTAAATGAGATGATGGCCACTGCACTAACTGTAGTGATCATGTCACAATGCATTCAAGTCCAGTCATGGTGCTGGGCTTGCACCCCGGAGCACGTCAGTCACGCCTCAGTGACAGTGAGAGGAGGGGAAAGAGAATAGGGAGGAAACAGAGTCCAAGGGTCTCAGCCATTCAGCTCTGAATGTTTTGCTTCTGTAACACAAGGCCTCCGCCACCTTCAACTTGGGCTAAGCCTAATGTTGGCAAAAATACCAAATCAACCCCAAAAAGAAGGCTGAGAGTGTGGCTGTCTTTGATACTGAAGAAGAGATCATTCCTGGCTTCTTGCCTCCACTCAAGACTTGGCTCAGACAAGAAAGACGAGCCTTCGGGTCGAGGCGCCAGCGCCCGACTGCTTGGTCAGGAAAGGCGCTCTCCCGAACTCCTGATGTCCTTTTAGTACCTCAGTCTGCACCTTTGACTTACATCTCTAAACCCTTTTCTTGAACCTATTTATATTTTGGGTCATTGGCGGTGATGGTGTTTCTTTAATGACCTTCCAGTCACCTCCCTACCCTGCGGGGACTGGCGTCTGCTCTGCCATGCTGCATGAGCAGTGTTGGTGGAGCTTGTCCAGACCCTTCATGCCTTCCCGGGGCCTGGGCCTAGTCTTGCACATGGCCCTCCAGATGCCTCTGCCTTTGGCTCTGAGGAAGTGGAAGGTGGAGAAACTACTGCCGTGTCTGTTGGTAAACCGTTGCTATGTTCTGGTGTGCAGAAGGGCCTGGCATTGTTTGAAGCAGAAATATTCTCTAAAAACTTGAGCTGAAAGTATATTTTGTTAGCAGGAAGGCAGGGGTATGGTTATCAGATGCAGGCGGGTGACAGAGGTTGTCACTTATAAGCTCCCTGGTCTGCGAGGCAGAACCCCAGCTTCAGAAGCAGAGCGCTGCCCCCCACCATGGAGAAAGAGGAAACGAACCTCTGTGAACCCTGTAATTTAGTCTGAGAGATTTGCACGCTAACCTTAGGACACAGCAGCTCTCCCCTTTCCATGATTCAAAGAAATTAGCGAAAATAAAGTTACCTTTGCAAGAGCACACAGTTATTAAGTAGCAGAGCAAGAATTCAAATCCAGCTATGTCTTGCACACATGCCACGTTCCCTTCTTTACATCACCCAACGGAATTTTTGGTTGACCTACTATGTGTCACGTACCACGCTAGGTTGTGGGGACTCAAAGATGAGTAAGCTACAGTACTTGTGATGAAAGACGTAACTCTATTCCAAAGAGGCAGATACACACACACACACACACACACACACACACACACACTCACACAATGCAGTGAAGGGTGAGGGTGTATATTTCTACTTTTGAATATTCTATCAAAAACAGTTGTTTTTTTAATAGATGGGCAGACAAAATCTCATTCTGGCAGAATTTTGGATCTCTGGCAGGCCACCTAGGGAGGGGAGTTAACAGGTGTCCTGCTCCGTGAGGGCCATGGCTCCTGAAGCCACTGGGTCACCTTCTTCACTGCTCTCGCGTGTCCCAGCTACAACGGGACCTGAGAATCCATGCAAGGGGGGAATGAGAGCCAGTTCCCAGCGCTGCATGGAGTAACTACGCAGCCTTGCTGGTGGCAACCATCAGCCATAAAGTCCACAGCATCTGACAGAGCTAGGGAAATTATTTCCTCAGTTCTTATTTGCAGCATCTCATCTGTTGTTGCCTTTTCTCTAGTCTCTGGTTGACTTTATGTCACACAACGCCACACAGGAGGAGCTGTGCAAATGCTTGATGATCACCCATGTCAGCTACGAGAGAGCTCAGTACCCAAGGGGCCATTTAGGAACAGTTAACCACTCTGATAAGCAGGGAAGCCCTGGAGGTACAGGTGGTTCCAAGAAGCACAGTTGGGCCTCCCCGTTGGCGCAGCGGGTTGAGTGCAGCACTGGGAAGCTGTCCGCAGCCTCTGCAGCATGGGTTCGATCCTGGCTGGCCAGGGAGCTAGCCACACGGCGTGGCAGACCTCTCCTGACTCCCCCACTGCTCCCCTCAGCAGTGTTTTCAGTCCATCTGCCTGTTCTGTTCCCCGCTCTGTCTCTGGCGAACCCTCTCACCCTCCCGTCCTCTGGCCTGTACCCCAGTTCTTGTATAAATAAATTTTTGAAAAAAAAAAGTAGCAGCATCACGGCTGGCCACTCACCACCACGGAGATGGCCATGTCCTCCTACACTTCCTCCCCAAGTGCGTGGCCTCACTTCCCAAGCCGCCTCCTAATAAGGCTGCGGTGATCTCCCGCTGCAAGGATGCCTAAGTGAGCCATTGTCTGAATGTTCAGTCTGTTTCTCGAGCACACCCACGGGATCCCAACATGCCTCTGCATTGGCTAGCATGGGTTTGTGATGAGGGACGACGGCTGTCTGGGTATTGTTTGTGAGGTAATGAAAACAATCGCAGGAATGGCTTTGGTCAGGCAACCCTCCATGTGGGGAGCTGGCATTCCTTATCTTGTAAAATCTTCGTGGCATCCCTCGGAACTGAGCGCTCTAATGTCCCCTTTCTACCATGGGGATTTTGAGGCTTTAAAGGATTAAGTCATTTGCCCAAAGTCAATTAGCGGGTCAGTGCCTGCATCTAATTTCAAAGCCAGATCTCTCCTCCAAAGCTCCTGTGCTGGGTTAGTAAAAACTGAGGCATGTACTTCCCCCACCCCATTCTATGAATTTCTATGAAGCACAGTCCTTTCCCTACAAAGAGAGTACCAGACATTAACATTCTAGACCGTAAGATCTTTTCTCACTAAATACAAAAAAGATGACCTTTGAGAGGGTAATTTTAACAGGACATATTTATGTCTTATCATCTCTAAATTCTGCTCTATCAGTCCACTATCAGTTGTCTCTTTTCAACTCAAAGGTTAATAGGTGAGCGCCCACTTCCAATTTATTGATGTAGAGTGAGGGTGTGTGACCCAAAGACATGACCCAGAATTAAATCAGCCCACCAGCTCCACTTTTCCTTTCATGGCTCCAGAAACACAGAGCTGTGTCTGGCCAGTGAACCATGGCCAACTTTTCATTTAAGGAGTTTACACACCAGCTTGAGAGAACTTTAAGTATAAAAACATTTTTAAATGGATTTCCAAGGTGGGAAAAAAAAAAAAAAGCATGCATTTCTAAAACCAGAGTCTTAATTTTTAAATATGGGGGGTTGGGGGAATTGGAAAGAGTTTTGAGGTGTTAGACAGCACTGAGCTCCTGCACGCCCCATTTCAGTCTATGTGGTTTCTTACCACACAGTGTATCCCACTCTGGAAGGATCACTGTTTCTTAAAATATCTAGTTCCACCTGAGTCTCATCAGAATTCTAGAGGACGTTGATTTTTGACTACTATGTTTTGCTTTAAAAAGGCAAAGGATACGTCCAGACTTAGCTCTGCACACAGGACAGGCCAGGTCACTGCATTTTTCATAGCTCCAGGGCATCTCCTAGATGACATGAAATGGTTTTCAGATCTTGTTTTTGATGTTATTTAATGAAACGATTTTTTTATTGAACATTGACTGAGTTCAGTGCCCTGCTAAATGCCTAGCCTGTGTGATCTCTTTAATACTGCACCTCACTAAGCCTGTTTTCTCATTTGGAAACTGAGAATAACAATAGCACCTGCCTCGTTGAATGGTTTTGACTTTGATCATGTGGTTAAAACGCAGACGAGCTGGGTTTGCTCACAGAAATCTCTTGACACTAAAAGCCCAGACCCCTAAGCACTAGGCCAGAGTAGACACGGAAAACATAACACCGTATGCACTTCCACACCTAAGTCTGTCCCTATGAGCCTAACTGACTATTTCATGAAAGGGGCAAGGCTGTTTCTCTGTGACCTGTTTATACTAACTCTCTGATGAGACAGACACCCTTTCACAAGTAATTTGAGCTGTTCCCAGTCATAAAGTTTCATCAGTTTGCTTTTCTAGACAGTATCTGACCTACTTGCCTCTCCGTTCTCCAAAGATCTGAGTAGGAGCACACTCACCATAGCGGAGACACGGCAGTGTCTTTTTTTCTTTTTTTTTTTTTGTGGGACCCGCGCCAGCTGCCGGGGAACGAACCAGCGCTGCAGAGGCTGCGGGCAGCCTTGTAGCCCAGCGCTCAACCGCTGTGCCACCAGGAGAGGTCCCGGGAGTGTCATTTTTAAGGGCAGAGGGTTTGGCACCAAACAGAATTAGGTTTAAAACCTGATTTTGACACAGGGTGGCCGCGAGATCTCAGATGCGTACTTAATTCCCTGAGCAATACAGCAGAGAAGTAACAGATAACACAATCCACTCTTTGTGCAACAAGCTCAGCTACTCAGTTTTCTTGATTAATACTGGGCTATAACTGGCTTTATCTCAACATAAGAAAATAAGGAGGAAAGAAGTATTAGACCAGCAAGAAGACATACATGCATGCTACACATAAGTCTGACATGGGTTTTTGCTGTCTGAATATGACCTGTGCTCTCTACTCTGCCAACACAAAATGTGAGCATCAGAGATGAGTTACAACGAGAGCATTTTCATTAAACTTTGTGTTCTCCAAAGAGAAGATTTTCCATCAGCAGACTTTCATTAGATACCGTTTTTTGAAGCTGTTATGGTACTAGTGCTGTGTGTCCAAGCCGCCCATTTATCAAATTAAAGAAAACAGTTTACAAAGTCTTCCAAAGCTCTGACTTGCCTGCCAGTGAAGTTACATAAGAGATGCGATGTGTGCAAAGTAGTCGGGAAAGGTGTTTGCTTTCTAGTTCTCCTGAATCAACGCAGTCTGGCACAAACACCACCTTTTGATCACTCTGGTTATGCTTTAGGCAAATTTCCCTTTTTAAGATATGAAGAAAATCTTCAAGGCCCAAAGATACTTCAGAGATCACTTAGCAAAAGAGTAATTAAAAAGCATGTTTAAAAAAAAAAAAACAGTAAACTGAAAAATAGAATTTTTCTTTATTTTCCCAACAAACTATCAACTCACTGAAAAACTCTGCTGCATATCACAGTAAAACTTCTTAAAAAATTGCTGCTCTGTATTACCAGGTTTTGTTTCTTTGTCTCTCCTAGAATGACTATAAGAAGCTGTCAATGCAGTGCAAGGATTTCGTTGTTGGGCTCTTGGATCTGTGCAGAAACACCGAGGAAGTAGAGGCCATCCTGAACGGAGATGTCGAAGGGTGCCCGGGCAGCCGAGACCACGGTCGGCCTAACCTCAGCCGCTTAAAACTTGCCATTAAATATGAAGTTAAAAAAGTAAGGTCAGGCATGAAGCCCCTTTTAGTTATTTCCCTGGTTACTGGACGAAACGAGGGTGAAGGCTGGCACAGAGACACTGTTGGGTTTTTCTAATTAGCAGCAGCAGAGGCAGGTTCTTCAGGCGATGCGGGAGCCTCGGGGGAGGCACTGCCCAGGCACTAAAGATTTAATCATATTTAAAATCTACCTTGAGGATCAGAACGTTGCAGCGATTGCCACTTTCTCTAAAGACAGAACAACAACTTCAGGTCTCCAGATTACTCGGCACTTGTCATATTACGGGAATGGCATCATTTAGGATCCAACTCCATTTCCCCATCAGCCAACATATCGCAATTCGGGACCAAAGCCATCAGTTCCTTGACCCCTGAATCTTCTCTGACTGTCTCTTTATTTGTGGAATATTTTTAGTGTTTTTGCAGGATCCCATCCTTGATTGCTTTCTCAGGTTATGTAAGACAGCTTAACAAAAACAGTTTTTACAGCTAGATTTTATAATAAAAGTTCATACATGCTTCCAGTAAGTTTTCAGACAGTATAGATATGTGTCCTTTCTTCCTAATCAAATCTCTATGAGGAGTAATCAATTATATTTCTCCCCACAAATTTATATTCTGAACATCCTCATGTGGCACTAAATAATACCCATTTCATTTTTTCCTAAAGGATGCATTTTTATATACTGATTTCATTTGATCTGTTTACAAGTTAAGGTGTTGATTATTTTCTTTAGGTTTTGTCATTACAAGATGCCATAATTAAAAAAAAAAAAAACTTGTTCATGAAGCTTGCTGATTTCCATGCATTTTATCTGTAGAACAATTCCTAGATACAGAATATGGCAGATTTTTATTTTCAAATTTCAGAAAGGTTTGCTAAGTTTCCCTTCAAAACAGGCGCACCAGTTAACACACACACCAATAAATATTATTTCTCCCTTGTACCACATGGGTAAAAGTTTACCATTACTAAAATTTACCATGCTGAGAGGATAAACGTTGTGCCTTGTTTTAATTGTCTTTGAGGTTAACCATGTTAAAGGGTCATTGGCAGTTTCTTTATGTAAGCCGGCCTTTATCTAACCTAATATTCTTTTCCAATTTTTATTTTGGGTTTGTACTATTTATACATTACATAACATTATCCTCTGTCATATGAAGGATTCATTTGTTAAATATATAGTAGATTAAAAAAATTCTGAGAACTGAACAGTGAAGTTATAAAGCTTTCTTAATTTAAAGATTTTATGGCACAGATATAAAAAGAGAGGGGCCTCCCCTGGTGGCGCAGCGGTTGAGCGCTGGGCTGCAAAGCTTCCTGCAGCCTCTGCAGTGCCGGTTCGATCCCTGGCCATCGGCGAGGGTCCCACATGGCGCGCAGACCTCTCTTGCCGCCCACTGCTCCCCTCAGTAGTGTACTTGGTCAGTCTGCCTGTTCTGCTCCCCATGCTGGCTCTGGTGAATTCTCTCACCCTCCTGCGCTTCTGACTGTACCCAGTGCTTGTATAAATAAATAAATCTTAAAAAAAAAAAAAAGAAAGAAAAAGAGAGATGACTGAAATAAAACAGGCAGTCCAGAAACAGACCCATCAACAAATGAGAATATAATGTAAAATAAGATGAGTATTTTAGGTCAGTAGGAAAGGTGAAATGCTTTCTTTAAAAAGTATTTAGACATCCGAGCCAGCAGGATATTCCCATCACTCCTTCTAGATGAAAAAAAAAAAAAAAAGCAACATTTAATCATGAAAGTCCTTGTGCAGAACATTGCTAAACCTACTTATAATATTAAATTTCCAATTTTTTCCTTCGCTTTGAAAGAAAGCCCATTCGCTATCAATGAAAAGTGTGGTAACTTGGGGCCCTTGAGGATATACGTATAGAGAACATCTCAGAACCTCCTGCCATCTTCCTGTTGTCCGTCAACTGGACGTTTTATGTTTATTCTTTAATTCTAACAATATTTTTCATCAGAAAGCACAGAAAAAAAAAACATTAAACACCAGACTAGTTTACGCTGAATCTTCCTTTAATCAAGCTGTTCCATGTCTTGTCCCTCCCCTACTAGTTTGTGGCTCATCCAAACTGCCAGCAGCAGCTCCTCTCCATCTGGTACGAGAACCTTTCCGGGCTGCGGCAACAGACCATGGCGGTCAAGTTCCTCGTGGTTCTCGCCGTTGCTGTCGGGCTGCCCTTCCTGGCCCTCGTTTACTGGTTCGCTCCTTGCAGTAAGGTACGTCTGTGAGGCCTGGGTACATCCTAGAAGCACGTCTGCTTGGATGTGTGGAGCCAGTTAGGCAGGGAAAATTGTTTTATCCCAAATGGAAACATCAAGGATATAAGAGTTGAGTTTAAATCCTCTTAGAATTTTGACTGTTACCAAGTAGCATGCATTTTTTTATAGGAAAAAGAGAAAATAAAGGAAGAGAAAATTCTCCTGTACCACCACCACCATGTGGCAGAATCCTCGGCACCCAAGCTGGTGCTGTTCCTGTGTCTTCTCCCTGGGCACGTCCATGCATCTACTTTTCTATTTTTAATGGAGTGTGTAAGCACTGAGAAAATATTCCATACAACATCCTGAAAGCAGGGTATCTTTCCTATCTTTTTCCCCCCTCCTCTGGCAAAATTGGAGATGAATGTTTTGTTTTATAATTTAGCGAATATGATCAAAATGAATCTTAATTTAAGGAAGGACAATCATAAAAATATGAACATACTGCTTGCTTCAGTGAAGAATATTTCTTTTGCGGACAAAGCACACTGTCACTGACAGCAGGACAACCTATTTTCTTGGCAAAATCTATCTTCCCAGACTTTGGTGAAGACAGTGCTCAAATGGATCTGGGCTTTCATTAGTGTGAAGAACAGGCTTGAAAAACATTGACCTGTCATTCTCTTAACAGGAACAGAAAAATGTCTGTCCTACATTGTCTACCAATCTTATTCTTCATGTTTTTGAAAGTACATGTCTGGAATCCTTTAAGTTTCAACTCCAAGAGTGAGACTGAAATAATTCTAAAGGACAGGGCTCAAGTGTCTGAGGACCATCTATTTCTGCGCCGTGTAGAAATGTCAGCTGAATCACCTGCTGTTCTAACTGTGGGCCTTATTCATTTTGGAACATTTGTAACTGTGGGTGCGAGCACATGTATCACCACTGTCCACACAATTGAAGCGAGCTCCAGCCTTTTCTGTTTCTCTTGGCACGCGGTCAACAGTAAGAACTTGAGAAGAGCATGATGAAAAATGCTCAGAGGCACATTGTCCTTTCCAAGCTCACCCCCTTTCGTTTGACAGTGATCACTGATCACCTTGTTCCAACTTCTTTCAAGTTGTTTTTTAGAAACAACTGTGCATCTGTTCATCTGTGCATCTCAGAACACACAGATGACAAATTACACTAAAAGGGATCACTCACCTCATTCCCAAACTCCCAAACTCCACTGAGTGATGCCAAAATCTCCCTCACTTTAAAGACAAAACTCAGCTCTTGGTGATCTGTAGTAAGGAGAAGATATGAAGAGCCACCATTTCAGTTTCCTGCCAACAAATTATTGGTTTTGTTTGCTTGATTGCTTTTTTCTTTAAACCAGAACATTTAATAAGCAGCAAAGATGCCTGGTTTAATTGTCCTCTCTCCTTCCTGAATAAGATAAAGAAGGGGGAAGAGCACTGAGGGATGGTAACCCAACAGAGATGGTGGCCAAGCCAGTCAGGAGCGAGGCTCAGACCAGACAGATCAGACACAGACACATGGACACAAACATCCTCATGTCCTCCCTGGTCTAAGATTCCTAATTTTTTCAAGAGAGAAAGGCTGAACTACAGACTCAATGCAGTTCTAACTTCCATGTTACTGGAAACCGCGCAGACAGCTGGCTTGTGGGGACAGAGGCCACGCGTGTCTGCTCCCAGGGAGCATCAGCTGTTTCAGTCTTAGAAGAGGCTTCTTTGTTTGCTCAAAGAATTCATATAAGATGCATGTCTACATGTGGCACACACACATGTATTTTAATGGGGCAACATGAAATGTCATTGTAAACCAAATGGAAGCATGAACTGCAAAGTACGAAATCCAGGGTTCGAATTCTGGCTGTACCATTCATGAGCTGTGTGACCTTTAGGCAAATTTCTGGGTCTCACATCCTCATTTTCTTCACCTGTAAAGTGGGCACTGAGTATCCACTACCTCTTTGGATTGTTGTAAAGATTTATGGGAGTTAAAGGGGTGAAACTCTCAAACAGTGCTTGCACACCTGAGTGTGGCTAGGGCGGCACTACCACCATGAATTCACACATTTGTTTCTTTTGACTAGTAAACTCATTTGAAAAGTTGTCAAAAGCTAAGGGCTCTCTTCTGATGACAAACCTCCCCCCACACACACTCCAGTGTTTACAATTCCATGGGATGCACTGAGCACTGCAGACCCCTCTGCACATGCAGCACCCCCAAGCTAGGACACCCCCATGTCAGAGGCACAAGGGCTTTTACTGTGTCCACATTTAATAGGAAGAATCTGATTTTCACATCATTTAGGAAATTCACCCAGCTAATGAGGGAATGAAACTGAAACCTGAACCTACAATGATGGACTCTAAGCCCCGTGTCCTCATGACGTGGCCCCAGGGCACTGGAGATCAGCCTGCTGCCCAGGCGGGAGCCGTCCCCTTGGTACCCAGGACTCACTCCTTTCACAGCATCCCCCACATGGCCACGCCCCCGACCTGGCTTGCACTCACATCCATGGACCAGAGCTGAGCATAGCGGCCAGGCAGAGATCTCCCAAGGATCCAGGCCTGCAGCGTGAACTCAGTTTAACACCTTCACAGCCACCCCCTTAATACTAGGGCCCCTGCGTCAGTTTGCTTTGCGCGAGTCGTGCTGACACTATGCCCGCCTTTCGTCATCGTTACAGTAATGACATTTATCATTTGGTCCGTGTTACATAATATTCACGCATCTACATCACACTTGGCAGAGTAACTTACTCAATTATTAACCATGGGCACAGTCACGTATCGATGAGGACTGTGCCCCCAATGCTGTAACAGTGATGACTGCCCCCAGCCACGCCGTGGGCTCGGGGACACGGCAGCGCAGGTGCCTATTCTGGGAGTGGGAGTGTGTGTGGAGAGCGCGCAAAGCTAACCCGCCTTCTCTGTGTCGCATCAGATGGGCAAGATCATGCGTGGACCTTTCATGAAGTTTGTGGCACACGCCGCCTCCTTCACCATCTTCCTGGGACTGCTGGTCATGAACGCAGCGGACAGGTTTGAAGGCACCAAACTCCTTCCCAATGAAACCAGCACCGACAACGCCAAGCAGCTGTTCCGGATGAAAACCTCCTGCTTCTCATGGATGGAGATGCTCATCATGTCCTGGGTAGTAGGTAAAGTCTGTTCTCCCAGCTTCACTCACTCGCGAACGACGCTGGCTCCCCCCCCACACACCAGTTACACAAACTGCATGGCACGACACCTCGCACCACACACTGTGACCGTTACCTTGGGGTCATTATCAGTGCCGCAGTCGGTTCACGCGCCTCATGTTTTCTGCATTTCCAAAAACACCCAGGCGGAAACAGGCAGGAGAATATTAACTAAACCACACCAGTGAGCAAAAAGCTCTGCCAGCACATATTCCAGGAGATCTGTGACTTCAAGCTTAAAAGCCAACGGATGATTTTATGTTGAGATTTAAGAGGAACTGAAGTTAATAGCCACTCACATTTACTAGACATTTATTAAGGGGCGGGGCTTTGCATACACAATCTCTCTGTGGATCGTTTTTTTACTGCGTCATTTTCCCACTCTAATAATACCGTCTCCCTCACAGCATTCATGTGAGCATTAAGTCATCTGCTTCAGATCTCCTAGACGGTTAGACAAAACAGAGGAAACACAGTCTTAACTACTGCACTGTTTACATACAGGATCACAGATATGGCTTGTCACTAGGTGTAACGTAAATGAGAAATGGGCTGCAACTGGTTCTTTCTGAATGAACAAATGTGACAGCGATGAGTGCCTCTGTTAGACCTGAGGACGCCCCAGGAAGGGGACACAGTCTTGGTGGTCAAGGACACTGGGTCTAGGAGCAGGTCAGCAACTACTGCGATGGCTGAAACCTAGTCAGGAGAAACACAGACATGGGAAAGCTCCAGGCCAGGAGCACCGATTACATGAAGTCCAGAGGGAGCTACTCAGATGCAAAAGGCAGGGACCGAGCCCAGGGCCAGGGCTGCCCCGCTGCTCCTGGCTGGACCAGAGCCCTCTGCGGAGTGTGTGTGGTGTAAGCCTCCATGTGCGGACAACTGGCAAAACAGGGAGCCACCCAAGGAAGGCCACCGAAGGGGGTGAGTGTCCCCCCGACTGCACTTGAGGGGAGTGGGAGAGCGGACTCTGGAGGGCAGTGCCGGGGAAGGCAGGGCCTGAGGTTTACTTGTGGAGATTCTCCTCTAGAGAAGACAACAGAACAGGGTGCGAGAAGGAGCCTGGCCAAATACGACGCCCGAAGCACGTTTCAGCACCTCCGTGGTCACCTGGCCTCTGCCAGGGCAGACTTTATGGGCACATGGTGTTCTTGCCTTAGGAAAGGTAAAGGCAGAGGGAGGACACTTGTTCTCTGCTGCTCCAGAGGGCCCGCCTGGCACTTCCTGAAAGCCCAGCGAGGGGTGAGCAGCTTTGCAAGCAGTCAGCCCCTGTCCCCAACACACTCCAGCCAAGGCTCGACGCCTGTGGGGAGGCCACGCTTGCCAAAGCAGGGGAAGCAGAGCGGGACTTCAAACTACGCATGGTAACTCCTGGGCAACTCAGAGAAGTAAGACAGGAATTCATCCTTCAGGCAAAATAGTTTCTCTCTCTCGTATTCTCAAATTTTGATGCGATTTCTACTTCTTAGAGAGAGAACGTGGAGGAAGCACGAGAGGATGCTTTGAAGACAAGACTATAGGAGCTTGACTGCCCCTTTTACGTCCATGCTGCAGTCACCAAACCCTTCTTGTCCTGCAGGAGGGCAGGAACCCAGCAGCCACATAAAGGAGGGGCCTTCAGGTTTTTCCACCCCAGGTCTCAGGCCAGGTGTGCGCATGAGCACATGCAGTCAACATTTCCCGCATTAACCTTGATCCATTAAGTATATATTAATCCAATTATATTATATATATATTATCCATTATATTATATATATTAATCCAATCCTCCTTTCCTCTCCCTGGGAATAATTCAAAATAAGTATCGAAGGTGCTGACTCCTGAGATCATGTCTTCTGTGCTGCACTAAATGCACGCATGACATCACGTTCACCCTCAAAGGTTTGACTTTCACCCATAGAATTGACTCTTTAACCCAGTTTGTCCACCACCCCACCCCCAAAACATGCTGGTCTTGAGAAAAGCATATGAGGCAGCAGAGCAGAGACCAGGGCCCAGTCAGGCCCAACAGTCTCCAGAATCACCTACAGGGTGGGTTCAGCCACAGCCATTCATGAAAAATCAGAGAACTGGGCCCAGGTGGCTTCTGGGAATCAGACAGAAGATGAATTTCAACTAATGGATGATGAAAGACTTGATGGAGATGGGTTTTGGCCAATGGTTGGAGTTTGGATTAATTTCCCCTGGTGCCTCTAAGAAGAGGCAGGATGTCAGAGAATGGGGTAAAATAACTTTTTTAATAAAGTACTATTCTTCAAGATCAGAAGAAAATAGATGCCATGGAAAACTACCATCCCATGTTTTAAAGTGTTTTGAGTAAATTATTTTATTGAGGTAATACTAGTTTGCAACACTATATAATTCAGATGTATAGGATCCCCCCTCTTCAGATGTGTTGCCCCACCCCTTACCCTACCCCATCCCCACCAAGCAGCCATAAGCCTCCCTAGTCCATTGGGCCCCAACCCCTCTTTACTTACCCCCCTCATATACACACCCTTCTGGTAGCCTTAGATATGCAATCAGATTTCAAGGGTCTGCTTCAGTTTGTCTTTTTCTATTCCTTTGCTTTGTTTCTTGATATTCCACACAGGAGTGAAACCGTCCAGTACTTGCCTTTCTCTTCTAACTTGATTTCCCTGAGCATAAGCCCCTCAAGTTCCACTCACATTGTCAACAAATGGCAAGATTTCATCTTTTTAATGGCTGAGTATTCCCCTGTGTACGTACACCACGCCTTCTTAACCTGCTCACCCACTGCTGGGCACTTAGGTTGTTTCCATAACTTGATTATTGTAAATGGTGATGCAGTGGACACAGGAGTACATATAGCCCTTCAAATTAATGTCCTTGCATTATCTGGGTATATACCTAGGAGTGGAATTGCTGGATCATGTAACAGGCCTATTTTTAATATCCGAGAAACCTCCATACTGCCTTCCATCGGGCTGGCCCGGGCTCCGTCCTGCCAGCAGGGCACAGGGCTCCTTTTCTCCAACACTCTCGCCAGCACTTGTTTCTGCTCGTTTTGATAAGGGTCATGCTCACTGGAATGAGATGGGGTCCCACTGTGGTTTTGACTGGCATTTCCTTGATGATAAGCGATGATGACCATTTCTTCACGTAAGGGCCATCTGTATATCATGCCCTTTTTGTAAAGTTTTAGAAAGTTTAAAAAACTTGCTAAAGATTGTACACCTCAAGCCCATGGCAGTGAGATCAAAACCTGTGCTCTCAAATATGGCACTCAAAGAAAAAAAGACATAAAGCTTAGAAAGACCATGCATTATTATTACCAATCCCATCAGCAAGAGACAACTATTAGTATTTTCCTATAATTATCATAGAAGTATTTTGCTTTCAACAAAGTCCTGCAATAGGTACCATTCTGACTTTTACTTAACATGTCTGTTTTTGATACGAACATTTTCTGGTATGAAGTAGTCCAAGATGCACAGGTAGAGATGGGGTTCATTACAGCAGTTTTATTTAGGGTAATGTATTTTAAAGAAATTGGGGAGGGAGGGAAGGCAGGCTGCAGGGGCTGTCAGAACAGGATGCATGGCCAATCCCCAGGGAAGGGCAGCCAAGCAGGAACAGCCAGATCTCCAGACAGCCTAAGGAAAATTCCACAAGACCTTCAGGAAATCCCTGAGCCAAAACAGCCATCAGAGGAGTCCCAAGTGCCCTGAGGAGGTGCCCTCTATCATTAGCTAGGAGCACTTTATAGGGAAGTATGACCTTAGGGCAAATGGAAAAAGTCCTCAGAGCACAGGGGCTGGAGCTCTGCAAGTACTGCTTGTGGCCACTCCCCATGGAGATGAGACATGGTATTAACTCTGTGCTCGTCCCCTGCTGGCTTCTGTCTTGATTCCGTGAGGTGGGTGTGTTGTGTGCTCTGGTTAGTATAAAGAATCCTTTAATGAACATATTGTAATGTATTGTTCAATGTATGAATCAGTGGTTGGATGTTCACATGTTGTTTTAAGGCTTTGGTAAACTACGGAGTTGCCCTCAGGTGATGCCCTGATAAGGCTCAGTCAGGGCCTCTGTGGGGAGTGCGGGTTAAAGCTGGCTGGGTGAGCTGAGGTGAATGTCAGGCTAAAACCTTTCAAATTGATCTTGTTTTGGTTGAAGTACAAGGGCTGAGGGAAGCTGAATTGATATCTTAACCCCTCTCCGACACAGGCATGATATGGGCTGAATGTAAAGAAATCTGGACTCAAGGGCCGAAGGAATACTTGTTTGAGTTGTGGAATATGCTTGATTTTGGCATGCTAGCAATCTTTGCAGCATCATTCATTGCGAGATTCATGGCATTCTGGCATGCGTCCAAAGCTCAGAGCATCATAGACGCCAACGACACGTTAAAGGACTTGACCAAAGTTGCCCTGGGAGACAATGTGAAATACTACAACTTGGGTGAGTTTGCAGGATACAGCTGACCTGAGTGAATGGAAATGCAGGATGCTTTTATAAAAATGAAGGTTAGTAGTAGTCCAGTTACTAGTCTACCCTCATAAAACTGTTGGTTAGTTTCTAGCTTCTTCGGATTATCTGTATCTGAAGAGGCGTTATTTCTGCTTCTTCCATTGATTAAAAAAAAAAAAAAAAACTGGCAGGAAACTTCTCTTAATCACAAGAATCATTGTACTTTCTCTCTGGGATCAACTGGCTAACTCCAAGTCCCATTGAGACTGCCTGTCATGTCCTGGATTAATTTCTTTCCTCTTGTCTATTACAAATAGTGCACATTTGAGTACCATTTCCATTAAAGACACATAAACTACATGAAAACATGGGAACTGAAGTTGCTGAGAGGAAATGGTAAAGAACAGCACTACTTCGCACCCAGACTTTGAACTGGAGGAGAAATAAAACTGAAGAATATGGAGGCCAGATCTTCCCCTCTGAGAAAAACAAACTCAAAGTAGCTGACACAGTTCTGAGTCTACTAGTCAATAGAGCAGTAGTAGCAGTAGTATTGAACCCCAGATTTAGGCAGATGTAGCCTCCAATTTCTAGATGCAAGAGGCAGGCAGTTCTCTCCAGAGTCCGTTCCCGAGCATGGAGAGTCCACCATGGAGGATCAGAGGATAATTCCCTAGACAAGGAGGGCCCGTGGAACAAAGGATGCCAGTAGTCCATCCAATTCAGCAACCAGATAAGTCATTCCATAGCCTCAGGAGGAAAGCAACAAAGGGGCAGAAATAGCTCAATGATCTGCTGGGTTGGGGAAAACAGATTTCCTCTGAATACTTATTTCCAAGCCTCTGATGAGAATCAGTTAACACTCAGTTGACATCTCTATGGGTTTGCTGGCTCTATTACATAAGGATTACTGTGTTATTATTCATTCCCAGAATGTTTAATTTTAACTTTTTTCAATATACAAAATTTGAAAAGTCAAAGCGATCTATTTATATTAGTACTTAGATGCAATGTACTCTAAAAAAGGAAACTGCTTTTAGTAGTTTCTTGCATCTTTTCCTAATTCTGCTTCTCAGAAAATAAAGCAAATACAGATTTATAATCATATTTTTCTTCTTTCTTACACATCATGGTTTCTTCATACTGATTTCTTAATTGAGTTTTCATGGCCCAAAAATGCCAGAAAAATTCAAAAATGAAGACCTGCTCTGTTTTTATGATAAAAATACACTTGTCTGTGTAACCAATAAAGATGACTTGTACTAAGTTGCTATAACTGCAAGTATTTCACAAGCCAAAAATTGTATTAGTGTAAGCATAGTTTAAGGTTAAATAATACATGCTATCACTTATTAAATGACTTATTTTCTTTTATTACAGCTTAAGATTAAATAATAAATGCTACCATTTATTTAGTGACAAGCATTTTCTAAACATGGGCCATTATTTATTGAATTCTCACAACAGATAAATGAGGTAGGCATGGCATTAACTCATTTTTAAAGATGGAAGATTAAATAGAGCTAACATACATTAAATAATTTGTTACAGTTCTTCCAGCAGCCTGTAGTTTGAGCTCCAAACCATCACATTATTCCCTTATGGAAAACTGCCAGCACACCCCAAGGGTCGTTTTCCCAATAAATTCAGAAGTTCAAATATACCTGACACTTATGAAACCCTACAAGAGATTTCTATCAGCATTGGGTTGCTAGTATGATTAGATTTGTTTCCTAGGAAAGAAGTTACCTACATCAATAACACGAAGATAATCACCGTAACTCTTGTTTTTCCCTTTTTCCTTAGCCAGAATAAAGTGGGACCCCTCTGATCCTCAAATTATATCTGAAGGCCTTTATGCAATTGCTGTGGTTTTAAGTTTCTCAAGAATAGCTTATATTTTACCAGCAAATGAAAGCTTTGGCCCTCTGCAGATATCACTTGGAAGAACAGTAAAAGACATCTTTAAGTTCATGGTCATATTCATCATGGTGTTCGTAGCCTTTATGATCGGAATGTTCAACCTCTACTCCTACTACATCGGTGCAAAAGAAAATGAAGCCTTCACAACGTAGGTGATCTCAGATGATGATGCTGGGTTTGATAACAGAAAGAGATCACAGATGACATAAATGTTAGCGTCACAGTTTGAACATATGTCCATGAGATAAAGCTCCTCTTTAGCTAAGTGAAAGGATTTTTAGATGAGTTGAAAGAACTTGAAGTATAACTGCATTTTTGGAGTCAGGTATTGCAATCGACTCCTCACGGATGCCACTTTATTATCTCTATCTTACACAAAGGGGAAACTGAAGTTGAGGAAAGTTAACGTGTGCAGTGCTGCACTGCTACTAGTGTGAGGAAGCAGGATAAGCTGCACGGCGCCCCGCCCACTGACCTGGCAGCTGGCTCATCACTTGGCTTGCGAGAGACTCCTTGGTTCTGACAACGACAACAGCTGTTTTCCTATTTCTATTTGTTAGATCCTATTGAGAAGACCCAATTTACCAATAGTGACCAAAGTTTTGACTTATGTTCATTACGGACACACGTGGTTTTGTTTTTAGGTATGTTTGGAATAGATTATTCAACTATTAGTCTTCAGTGGTAGGATTAGAAGTGCTGGCTGCAGCATAACCTATCGTTATCCACATTCCAGTAAAGTGCAGTTTATCACAGAAAAGCTTTAAGCGGAGGGGCGAAGTTTAGGTCAAGAACTCTGCCTAAAGCATTACACCCCTACTGAAGTCATGCCAGTGACTCTGGAAGCTCTGCCTGTGGCTGCTTTGTCCTGTTTCCTTAGGACACACACTATCACTTGTTTCCCAGACATGAGTGAAGACGGAAGTGCAGAGGAGCAGGAAGCCTAAAAGGGCTCTATCAAACTCATTTTCACTAAGTAATACACGTAACTCTTCCATTGCCAATGCTGTGGATTATGGAGAGTCAGTGCCTGTACTTAAGCATTTATTGTGCACTTACTATGTGACGGATATTGAACTGGGTGCTCCTCACACAAAACACTACCTGTCCTTGCAACACTCCTGGAAATAAAAACTTGCTGCACCCATTTTACAGAAGAGAAATCTGAGGTTCAGGAAAGTGAAGGATTTTCTCCTGAATACCAAAAAGCAATTTGCAAAGACACGGAATCAACTCAGTTTTATCATGATACCACTCTCATTTATTTGTGTACTTTATTATTTCCTTTTTCTCTTCATTCTTCCCCAGAGTCGAGGAGAGTTTTAAAACACTGTTCTGGGCCATATTTGGACTTTCTGAAGTGAAATCAGTGGTCATCAAAAATAATCACAAATTCATTGAAAACATCGGTTATGTTCTCTACGGCGTCTATAATGTTACAATGGTCATTGTGTTGCTGAATATGTTAATCGCAATGATCAACAGCTCCTTCCAGGAAATTGAGGTATAAGCTCTATACATTCCTATACTCTGTGCCTGTATGTATTAACTAATCCAGATATCTGCAATTTATATCTTAATGCAACCAACTCAGCAATGGTCTTTTCCTGTCTCATCTACTTTTTTACCAGTAATCTAGAAAATTTCAACCCTTCTGTATTTGCATCTAAACACAGATTCAGTGGGTGTGGAGAGCTAGCAAAATAGACAAAAGAGAAATGCCTGATTCATTGTTTAAAAAAAAAAAAAAAACTTTAGAAAGACTCTATCAACATGATTTTATATTTTATTCAAAACATTATCATTTATAAGTACTGCTATTTTCCGAGTCTTTTTTGAGTGATGTTCAAAATGGACCCTTTCTCAGATGTGAGTGAGTGTAAGATTTTTACTCTCAAATCTTTACCTGTGTCCATTCAAAGAAGGGATGTGTTACAGGATAAAAGAATGAATAACTTAGCACAGTGTGGCTGAGAATGCGTAAAATATATTTGTAACTGTCAGTGTTTTTGTAAACACATGCAAGTTTTAGGCTCTGTAGTCCTGTAAAGGATTTTCAGATGGAGACAGACCTAGGAATGAGAGAGTATCGAACATTAACATTTTGAAAAGACCTGGAGCTGGCGTCTAAGAGTGTTTGCCAGCATCTAGCTCCCTTCCCCTTCCGCCCCCACCCTCATCTCCCTGCTCCCCCTCCCGACCCAAAGCTAGCAGCATCCAGGAGCTCCCTGCCTGCCTTTCCTTGCTGAGCTGTGACTTGTATTTGTCTAGGATGACGCCGATGTGGAATGGAAATTTGCAAGGGCCAAGCTCTGGTTTTCCTACTTTGAGGAGGGAAGAACTCTTCCTGTTCCCTTCAACCTGGTGCCGAGTCCAAAGTCCTTGTTTTATCTCTTACTGAGGCTTAAAAAGGGCATTTCTGAGCTGTTCCAGGGCCATAAAAAAGGTTTCCAAGAAGATGCAGAGATGAACAAGGTAATTTGACTTGATTTATATTTTAATGCTGAACCATTCTAACCGCTGTGCCACCCGCCTTTAAAGCAAGCAGCCCGGTGACCTGTCCATCTGTCCCCAAACACGGTCACTTAGCTCAGCCCTCTGGTTTGAGTCTGCGTAACAGGAGCACACTGGGCATTTGCTACTTAAGTAAGAGCTCTTGATCTGTCATTAAGATAATGATGACGTGATCCGGGTGGAGCAGGCACTGAAAGGGAGAGCTCTCCTGGGTCCCATTATTGCTCCATGCAGCCACTCATCTCTCCCTTCACCCCAAGGTCCACAGCCTGGCATGGTGGCAGTAGCTGGCTGTGCATCAGGGGAGTGTGACAGACTCTTAAGCGACTTCCATGCTGAAAAGTCAGGAAATCAGTTGTTCACGTGCAAACGGGAGGTTGGACGCGGCAGTGAGCAGGGAAGGGAGAAGGATCTAAGGATCTAGTTGGGCACAGAGAATACCGCGCCACACACTAAGACTAGGCGCTTGCCTGGGGGGCGCATCCCAGGATGGGGGCAGCTGTGGGGTCACAGGAAGGGGGGCTGAAGGAGCTGGCTATTAGACACCAAGGCGTAGGACTGAAGGGGAAGAGGATGAAAATCTTTCAAATTCCCACGTCTGACCATGGACAGCAGTTGTTTTTTGTCTCCTCATAAACAAGAAGGGAGGCAGTGGGTAAAAGCTGCAAACCGTTTGGTTTTAGTTTGTGTAAAAACAAACTTGTCACAAGACCTTCCCAGCACAGAGTGGAAGTAGCGCGTGACCCATCATTACAAATAATCAGAAAGTGCTGGGTGACCCTCGGCAGGAATTTACAGATGATTTTCTACATGGGGTAGGCCCTGAGGCCACGGGCTGGAAGGTGCTGTTCAATGATGAGATCCCATCACTGAGTAAAAGGTTGCTGTCCCAGCCCTGCTCCGCTGGCCACTAGCTACTCGGAGTTCTCAAGTGAGCAGTAGACCCTCTGAGCTCTAGTGCCCCAGAACAAAATTTACATGGCATCATCAATATCAAATCAAACACATATGTCAAAGTGCCCTGGGAATTTAAGGCCCCCTCCCGGGGAGTGACCGTGATGCCATCCTGTGCAGGCGTTCTGGATAAATACGCCATGCACAGCATCTCTCCAGATGGACTCGCAGACCACGCTGGGTAGGGCAGCAAAACTGCCCGTTAATGTCTTTTAAGTCTAGAGTTTACGGGACTGATCAGAAGTGAGGCCTGAGAGGGTTCCTTGTCCCAGGAAACTGAGCATTCACTGAAGGGAGAAGCCAGTAAGAATATGTTTCTCATGGAAACTTGCTGGAGAATTAGACCAGATGACTTTTACAACATGGAATAATGAGAGAGTGGAATTGGTATTGTAATTGCAACTGTACAATTAGCAACTGTACTCATTTTACTATCTATCTTTAAAAGAGAAATGAAGAAAGGAAATTTGGAATTTTGGGAAGTCAAGAAGATCTTTCAAAATTATCACTTGACAAAAAACAGGTAAGAACATGCTTGAAAATATGAAATCATACATGTGATCAGAAAAAAAGGAGAAATGAGCAGATAATAGACCACGGAAGGATGCTTGTTAGCAATGCTCAAGGACCCTGTCCCTGCGAGGGAGGATCAGCACGCGGGGCTACCTGTATGCTGAATACACATGACACACAGTTTGGGGTGTCTTTTATGGGTGATGGGATGTAGGGAGAGTGATGTAAGGAAGGAAAATCTCAAACAAAGAGGGTTTGGACAGGGACCCGATAGAGACACCGCCAACCCTAGGCGTGGGGGTGGAGGGTGCATGTGGCAGAGCCCCTGCAGTGATCAAGAAGCTGGTGAAGGGCACTAGGAGAAGCAGGAAGCCCTGGGTGGGTGCGCTGTGCGATGGGCAACACGCCTGGCGCCGTACCACCCTGCCAGGAGCCGCACCACCCTGCCAGGAGAGCCGGTCCCCAGCGCTGAAGCACGCACGTGGCAGGAGCGCAGTGAACGCTTGTGAGGGACACTATAAGTAAGTGCATGAGAAGGGCAGTGTAGCAAGTAGGACTTGCATGCCATTGCACGTAAAAACCCAGACACAGTGATTTGAATAAGACAGCTGTCCAAGCCTCTCCCAGAACGCTCTGACCTGCTGTCAGGCTCTGCAAGACTGATGTCGGGTGAGGCACTGTCAATTCTCCTGATGTTTCATTGTTGCGGCAATTTCCCAGAGAAGTCAGGCGGCACTCAGAGAGGGGGAGAGCGGGATTCCGTTGCCACACGGTGGGCTCAGTGGGATCGCTCCCAATGGGCTGAGCCCCGAATTGCAGGAAGAGTAAGGTTTGAGAGTTTGTATGAGGAAACTTGTCACCCCATCCATCACAGCGCAAGCATTCTTCATTGTTTGGGAAGGGAGTCAGGGTAGCCGTGGCTGCTACTGGGGACAAGCAGAGACCCAGCAACTTCTCCGCTCCAGCAAGCAGCAGAATCTAAGCAGCAGACTCCCCCAAGCAGCAAGCTTGGGAAACGTCCTGCTTTATTATAACAGCCTGAGGCCTGATGGCAGCTTTCCCTGCAGCCCTCACACGCGCCCTTCACCCATGAGGAAAGATAAACCAAAGTAAAAGTAGGGCAGGCCCCTGAGCGTGCTGCCCCCTCAGATGGGCCCGCGACTGCTGTCATCACCGCTCATGGGCCTCCAGCCCCACCCCTGTGCCCGGGAGAAGTTATTTTGCTCTTATGCGACAAAATTGCCTTCTCCCTTCAGAAGAGGAATTCCCTTCAGTGTGGACGCATGAGCCGTCACTCAGGAGGCTGGGCCCTCAGAGTGTCCGATCCCTCCAGCAATTCAGTGAACTTCTCTGAAACTTCACTTTCTCATCTACGAGATGGGGATGATCAAGTTGCGGAAATCAACACACAACATCGCTGGAAGAATTAAATTTGTAATTCCTTGTAAATTACAAACACTTTCACAAATATAAGTACAAGTTAGAGAGAAGTACCTTTTTCTTATTTGGTTATAAATAACTCAATAAAAAAACTGAACTAACGACTGGGAAGGGAGAAAGAGAAAGCTTACAGAGAAGGGAAATGTGGCCGAGACACAAAACGGGGAGGCAGAGGTCTGTGCAGAACTGGAGGGTCCTGCCTGCGTGGCCCTGGGTCCCTCCCCCTTGCTCCCACAAGCACCCTCCCCCCACCGCCCTGCTCGTCAGCACCGCCAAAAACACCAGCCCCTGAGGGCTAAGAGCTGTCCACGCTGCAAGTTGAGCACGCCTGTGTGTGCAGGGGCTACAAGCGTGACTTTCTAGTCCGTGTCAGCAGCTGTACCTGGACACAATTCTCTATTAGAATTTTCTGCCACCAAGTGGCAATGCTGTCTCTCTGCACCACTGGGTAAACGTCTCCTGATGCCCTATGTCTTTGTATTACTCCATTTGTTAACTAGCATTCACTGAATACTCACTATGTGTTAAAAGCTGATTAGAACTTTTTTTCTGAGAAAAAACTCCTTATTTTTACCCAAGCTCATGTCTCAAGAGAGAGCAGAACTGGCCACAGAGAAATGACCTGAGTGAATTCACAACTGTCTAGTCACTTGCCAATTAATTATTCCAGTGGTTCCCACCAGCACCCCAGGGTGCATCTACGGCACTAGAGAGGGGAGCAGCCACTGGGACCGAGTGGGTGGAGGCCAGGGTGTGGCTGCACTGTGCGCAGGGCGCGGGAAGTTCTCCCCCACAAGGAGCCGTCCTGCCTACGGGGTCAAAAAAGTCACAACAGACGCCCCCACTGCCTGGAGCACCGCCTGTGGGAACTAGGGTCGCTCCGTGGCTGTGGCCACGGCCACCGCAAGGTCTCAGGCAGGGAAATGAACATCGCGCGCATTCTCAGAGGGACAGAAGAGCATCGTGCTCTGATGCGGGGCCCCTCGGGGTCACCGGGGCAGCACCTGCCCCCACAGTGCAGGCAGTCCCGGGCCTTGTCTCTGTCATGCAGTAGGGCTTACCCTGGCTGAGAACCCAGCTTGGACAGGGCTTATATAACAAGCACCCCCGCATCTCCTCAGGTCCCCAGGGGCCACTTTGTTCTTCCTGCTCCAAGGATGCCTGTGCACAGCTGCTTTCACCAGCGTGTGGCCACTTAAACAGCAAAGCTGAAGGATTTTTAACTCAGTCCCACTGTGCTTCACTCACAACAACTCAGATGTCCTGGGAAAAGAATCACGGATGCCTTTGAAGACAGTCTTCAAGTTTCTCGTCTGTGCACCCAAATCATACAAATTTGAAGCTGTTTTGTTCAGATTCTACTTCTTATTTCAGTTTTTCACTTTAGGAAGTGCCTTATGAGTCCCTTAATTTCCCTCTTAGCTAGTTAATATGGTCTGTTACCACTTTGCTAGCAGGCAATGAGAATTCTTTGTTACTCACCTGTTTGAGCAGAGCCTTTAGTTGGAAGTGCTGCCCAATGGGATACTACACAGACCTTAAAATCCAAGTGGATTAATGCGTGCTTTGCTGGCACCTGTTCTGGCCCACACCGAGCCTTACCCTGGCAACCTGCACAATGCAGCGGCCACCTCATCAGTGGACTCCCAACATCACAGCCCATGCCTCATCCTGCCACAGGTGTATCTGTGGACAGGTGAAGCATGTCTCCCAAAACAACATGACCAGTGGCACATCAAAGTGACTCCTCAGACAACCTCTGCAGGCCACTGAGAGGCCACCCCAAAGCGCCTCTGATTAGTCTTGGAAAGCAGAATACTCAGCGAGTCTCTATGCCACTTCCCACAGAGATGAGATTGTTTATAAATGAGATTGCTAGTTTATATATGTAACTAATAAATCTCAAACATTGTTTAAAAGAAAACTGAAATGAGAATCAGTTTTAATTCTTTTCAAATTGCAGCTTGCACACAGCAAACAATCAAGTATAAGGAGCTCAGAAGATTTCCAATTAAACAGTTTCAACAATCCTCCAAGACAGTATCAGGTAAGCATAGATTTTTAGAGAAATATGACTATTTAGTGACATGTAGATTTTTAAACTATGCAATACTTTTGATGAAAATGAACTATTACATTTTTGTTAATATCAAAATAATGCATCAATTCAACAAATATGTACTGAGCAGCTCGCACGTTCAGATGTAAGTAGCAGGTTATCTCCATGAACAGTGGGCGTAGCCTTGGCCTCGGGACGCTTAGTGCCCATGTGCTCATGATAAAAAGTCCACCCATACAGAAAATAAAACTTATCTCAAATCCCACCACTTAGAAATAAAGACTAGTTACTTTTGGTGAATAGTCTGATTACATGTATATAAGTATTTTACATATATTTTTGATATTGTATAAATACACATGTAATAGTATGAAATTGGTCACCATATTTATAGAGTAAGTTTTTCATTGCACAAAACATATACTCACGTTAATTTTGATGGCTGTATAGTATTCCTTTGTACAATATAGGAAAATTTATTAAAATGATTCCTTACTGTACAGTAAGTGAATTAATCAGGCTTTTGAGCCCCTGGCCTCTGTGGCTGTTACCTGCAGGCATGATGGTGTTAATGCAGGAGGCACTTGGGAGTGTGGGCATGGGCACATGTGTCTGATTGTGGGCGCCTGGAGCTTAGAGTGCACGCATGTCTAAGTGTGCACGGCTGGGCCTAGAGGCCGGGATTAAGCCACCATGGTGGTGGCAGTGAGAGGACCAGCGGCCTGACTAGACAGGAGACCACGAGACAACAAGAGAGACTGAGAAAGCCCAGAGAAAAAGAGTAAAGATCCGTGGGGGTCTGGGAGGTTCAATTGCCCCCCGAGTCCCCTGCCTAGCCTCCCTCGCCCTGCCTGCTTGCCCAGCAATAAGAGAAGGGGAGAAAAACACGCTCATACTTACTCACACCCTTACCCTGCCCCACTGAACAGCCGGGGTTACTCTAATACCTTCCAGAGGAAACACAATCAGCCAACATCAAGGGCTGGAGCTTTGCTCAGACGTATTCTCAAGAACCAACAGTTACTAGCCCAGGTGATGTGACAACTGAATCACAGATAAGGTGATACGTCTTCCCTTCCAGGTCAGTCACCTTAGTCTTTGACAGCCAGTCTTCCCCAGAGCTTACTAAAGGGAGAGGACTCCGAGAAACTCATTCCACATGAGACTTCTGTCATGAACGTAAGCTGAGATGGGTTTCTTTCTCTGTCTAGAAAATAATGAAGAGGCTCATTAAAAGATACGTGCTAAAAGCCCAGATCGATAAAGAGAGTGACGAGGTCAACGAAGGTGAGCTGGAGCCGGGGGCTGTGGGTGTGGCAGGCGGGGGCCTTGAGGCCCAGCCTGGGTGAGCTGGGCAGGGGCGCAGGAAGGGCATGCTGCAAGGGGAAAAGAAGGCAGGACCTCGCCTGCCTGGGACACGTGGACTCTCAGGACGGGGTGCGTCTCCCCAGCCGGGGATGGTGCCACTTGCTTGAACATAGTAACTGCTATTTTTGTGGGGCTTGGAGGGAGAGGAGGTGTTTGCGAAAGGCGAGGGGCTGGTGCCCCCAACCTGCCTCATCTGCCACTAGCTTAGCTGAGAACATAGAAACTTTCTGCATGCAAAAAGGGAGGCTGTGTCCTTTGGAGGGACTCGGAGGACCGGCTGTATAGTTAGGGTGGATCCAGTCTGGCCAGGACTACAGTTTTCTCTGCATGGTGCGTTTATAGCTGACTTCTTACCACTCTTGTTCTTCAAAGGGGAACTGAAGGAGATTAAACAGGACATCTCAAGCCTCCGTTATGAACTCCTTGAAGAAAAAACGCAGAATTCAGAAGACCTAGCAGAACTTATTAGAAAACTTGGGGAGAAATTATCAGTGGAACCAAATCAAGAGGAAAGCAATAGATAATGCTGACTCCCTTTAAAAATTCATATTTATTTGTCCACTTGAAGCCATATTATTTTTCCAATTTATTTTTTTAAGTGCCAGTGTGACCACCTTTTAAACGAGAAAATTCAAAGATAACTTGAATCACCCTATTCTCTGGGACCCTGATGTTTAAATTCTTGGTGATTAAATATCATTAAGTTGAAAGCTACAGATTATGGCGAAAGTTGAGCCCAGCTGTGGTGCTTGTTTTGTAAACTTTCTTGGGTAGAGTCCTCGCCATGATGCAGTCAGCACACGGGCCGTGGGCCTGGGAATTGCTTTAGCTGGCAGGGAGCTCTCCCCGTGTGCTATCCCCCTGCCGGGAGTGCCAGCACCTTTCTGCACCTGTGGATCGCGTGGGGGCGACCTGCCTCCTGAAGCTAGGGCAAAAGCATCTCTGGCCAGACACTGACTTAATCGCTCACAGCAAAGAACCACCCCCACCCCCCTCTGCCCTGGTGGTTGATAATGTCTGTGCAAAATGGAGTTAAATATTTCCTAAATTTTCTGATTGACCTCTTTGAAAATGTCACACAGTGAAACATGCTTCTGAACCTGACACCTGGTTCAGCTGTGTGCGCGTGTGTACGTGTGTGTGCGTGTGAGCACACATGCAGATGAAATGTTTGTCCTGCTTCTTTTGCAACCAGTATAGACACTGAGAAACTTACTGTGTTATTTTCTATTGCGGCTGAAAATTATTTGCCCAGTAAGGAGCTTCTGCTAGCAAAGGATCAAAGCCACAAACAGCTGGTTATTTGGCCCAATTATAGCGCAATGTTGTGCCATTTCCGAGCATACTGACAGGTGGCGTTCCACATTTGGCATCAATTGTAAAGCAAAACCAGTGTTATGGGAACTTGTGGGCACATGTTTGTTATTCTCAGTCCATGCGCTCCTCCATACAAAAGAGAAGATAGAATTTGCACACGTGGGCGGTCACTGAGGGGAGTCTTACTCCCCGATGATGATGATGATGCGAGGAGGCATCAGCTACAGCAGCTGAGAAAGAGAAGGTGGCTCCTCTGCCCACCAAAATCTAGATGGTGCTGGGCGTTCCTGGAAGTCCTACTCTGCAGTCAAGAGGAGAGAGCCTGGAAATGCAAAGTACCAACTTCATCTTAAAGTGGTCACAGAAAATCTCCAACTCTGATTTACTGAAATCAAAGAACCTTTATGTAAACAGATCAGAAAATAGAGTTGAAATTTTATGTTTGGTGATTTTGTGTTTGTGGGTATTCTTTATTGAGAACTTATTTGGTGACACAGAAAAGTATTTTTCCAAAAGTTTCGTGACAACATTTGAATCAGACGGTGTCATCAGTCTTGTGTCAAACGCGCTATCAGCAAATTAAAATGTCCTCATGTCCACAAGCTTGTGTGCCTCTGTGAGGCTGGCCTCCGTGCCAACAACAGCTCTATGGCAGTAAATGGCCTGACGCCAGAAGTCTCGAGAAAACAGACTCAGATTCCCCAGTGTCTTTAAAGTTGCAGGCACTTGATGTGAGTTTTTGGAAATGCAACAGGCATGAACATGGGCCCTCCTCAGGAGAGGGATGGCCATCACGTGCCACCTGGGACTGTTCGAAATTAACATTTCCCAGAGGCCGATCTTCCTCAGAGGGCAGACAAATGTCATCTCTTCCAATCTCCTTTGAATTGGAATATGGATCAAGAAACTATATTCCAGCAAGGGCTTAATTAAAGGCTTACTGTCAAAGGATGACCGTGAGCGAGTCTCAAGGCCGCTGCCCTGCCCCTGTAAGCAGCTGTCAGCATCACTGTTAAAGTGGTGATAAGCCAGAGTGCTTTTGTCCAGCTGCTCTCTGTGGTCAGCCTCCGTCAGATCTCCTGTCCAGGAGGGCTGCTGCCACAGCGGGACGGAACAGCGCCCTGGCCCAAGGTCCCCGCCTGCCCTCACTACCCCCACGAGAGAGAACATGGTGGTTCCCTCTACCCGTCCTGGACCTTGTCTTGCTCTCTGTCATTCTCATGACCCGACGCCGCAAAATGCACACATTTAATATGATGAAATCGTACTAAATTAAATAAAATTAAACAAAATGCATTGCCAGAATCTTCTATCTGCTTAGCATTTTGCCAGGTACTGAAAGGACTAGGACATCAGCGTGTAAACTCAAGGAGCTTGCCACCAGAGGGAAAAGACAACTTTTAGGGACTTAATCCAGCCAGGAGAAACACAGCCTGAGCCCCTCCCCTGTGCCAGGCACTGGGGTAAATGCCCCACACGTTAGCTCCTGTAACCCAGCAACTGTCTGAGGGAAGCACTATTATTCTCCCCACTTTAGAAATGAAAAGATAGAGGCTTTTAGAGGCTACGTATTCACACGTTGAGTGCGTGAGAGAGCCGGGCCCAGTACTCCAGCCTAACACTTCCCTGTGGTCTTGACTGACTGTAGTGGAGTGTGCCTGTCCCCTTGTGACACTTCTGTTTCCATCTTCAGGAGTGGGTGGTACCTGAGAACCTTAAGTTCCATCGCATGGTCATTCCAGAGACTGAGAATGAACAGAGGGGAGGGCAGCTTTGAGGGCCAGGGAGTGTGACCCAGGCCAGGGCAGAACACGCAGACTGAGGCGCTGGAGACGCAGGAAAGGATGTGAATTTGCCCCAGAGCTCTGTGCTGTTTATTCCATGTGAGCAAGTTTATCCAAGGTCACACAGGAGAGCAACCCAGCTCCCTCACGGAAGGACACTGGAAATTCAGCTAAACATCTGTTATCCCACAAAACACCGGCTCTGGCTCTGAGTCTTTGCGTTTAGAAGTGACTGGCTGCGGTGGGAGACACGTCACAGATGCTCTTGAAAACTGGGTAATTAAGACAAATGTTTCTTTTCTAGAATGATTGCTAGGTTTCCACAGACACTTCTTGAATCATTTCCCTACGCTGCATGTGAGGGCAGCCCTTACTCACGTCACAGGAAGCTTTCATTTTGGAATGAACTTTTGCCAAGATTACTGTTCACTCAATCCAGTGAACAGCTAGAGACAGTGACTGACAGGTGGTTTCCTCACACACACATACACACACACATTAGTGCCACTGGGTGGATAATGAATCTATCCACTGTGAGAGGATCACAGGGAGGGTGATTCATGTTTTTCACTCACAAAAGCGGCATCTTGAGCAGCCATCTTCGTCAACGGTGAGGGGGTTGACGGCCACTGAGGAGACGATGGCACGGTCCTACACTCCCTCAGCCTAACGTTATCTCGGACACCGAAGTAAAAGCCAGGAGAAAAATCTCTCATTTAGAGAACCTAAGAAGTTTTCATCTGTCCCTTTTTCTGAAGCCTCGCCTGCAAGTGAGAGGTGCGGTCCACTCACACACTCACGTGTGTCTAGGAGGTGCAGCGAAGTGTCCTCCAGGAAACACACAGAACATCACAAATGTTTTTCTAAATCATTAGGGAAAACCCTGCTGATGACATTCAGGAAATGAGTCTTAAACTTCGCTGCCCTACATTTCTACCCGCATCACCGTCCATGAAAACAGACTCTCCGCCATTACGGGACGACCTCACAGCAGGGCGAGTTTGCTCCGCCTCAGGTCTCAGGCTAACAGGACCACGGCAGTAATCGCCTCCTGCCTTAACCTTTTCAGTATTCTCTGACTCACTCATCTGACATTTACCTTTCACTCTTCTTCAGAAAATGGACTGTCCCTCAGAATAATTGGAAAAGGTCCGATGTCAGTGTTACCTTGTATTTCCAAAAAGGTGAACACGTCACCACACTGTCGCTGTGGAACAGTGTTATTCCCTGAAGACTCTGTATGCACACAGATATTTGTGCAGTCTGCTGTGATATGCATCATGTAATCACATAATACAAGCGTATGGATGCTACACATCTACCATCAAAGGCATTTTTTCAAATAATAGCCATGATTGTAGAACAAAAACATAAATATGGATTTTTTCCCCTTTTGTCGCTTGTTTTTTCTTGTTTTCATTTCAATAATTTCAACCTTTCTAGTCTCTACACATCATCAAACTATTTTACAGGGCTGCTCTAGCCTCGCGGTTCGGCATACAGGAGTGGCGCCGGGTCCTGGGGCTTGAGTCCTAGCTCTGACGATGCCAGCTGAGCATTCTTCCAGAATGCCTCGGCCTTCCAGAATCTCATTATCCCAGTTCTACACATAAAAAAGAGAAAATTATCTCTTGCAAAGAGCTTCTGCAAAGATGAAATGGGCCGGCAGAGGATGGCATGTGGCGCACAGCGTAGGCTCACGTTAACAACTGTACAGAAAGGATGTGGCCCTCAGAGCCCCCGGCCACCCAACCTCAAGAAGCCACCCCTCATGGACCTCAGGAAACCCAGTGAGGGTCAGGGTCATGTGTGTGCAGCCTGGATTCTGAGGCCCCAGGCAGGACAGGAGGACAGAATGACAGCCAGCTAACACGCCTGCCGCGGACATGGGAAGCTGGTCTTCAAGCCGCGTGCCCCACCCGTGAAAAACATGAATCATATCTGAACTAAACATTAGGAAAAATTTTAAGGCATTTTTATTACTTCTGAATCTAATCATCATATATAATTTTATAATTCTATTATGAGACAGTTCAGGGCAGGTACCATTTAGTTCCCACTCAGAACATTTTCTGCTTGGGACAGGTTTCACCCCTTGCCATGTGCGGGCGCGACCACGGCGGCCATCAGAGCAGCAGCTGCCCCGGAGGTCCTTGTGGCCATACAGCGCTTGAGGAGAAACTCCTCGGTCCATACAGCAGAAAACGAGACTGCACCAATCTGTTTGGGTTTGGTGTGTGGCGTCGTCCTGTCATTTACAGGACGTACCAAGCCCAGGTGGGAGCACGTTGGCGCTGCCCCGTCACTGACCAGGGCCACAATAATTCCTAGCTCTCACAGGAAAAGCATCTTGACTAATTCACTTCATCATTTGAGTCAAAGTTACCCTCTGACTGAGGAAGCCCACAGTGAATAAGCAGCGTGCAGCTCGGGCTGTCACTCACCTGCGGCCTAGCCTGGGAGGGCTCCGTCACGACGGGTCGTCTCTCATGGCCACTGGAGGGTCGGGGACTCCGGACTGGTCAGGCCTCGGCCTCACGAGGAGGACACAGACGGGCAGTTCCCACTGCCTACTCAGGTGCCTAATTACTGTTTCTCACAAAGCCCCAGCCAGGTCTGACCCAGCACACCTTTAAGCTTCCCTTTCTTAAATCGATGGTATTTGGCTGATGGTTGAAAAGCTCAGGGCAGCCTTCCAAAGAAACCGTGGGGTGTGCGGCCAAGCCCTCCTGCAGCCTTCTGAATGTGCCCCCTCGGCACAGATCAGAAGTCCTGAAATATTAACCGGTAAAAGTACTTAATGTAACAGAAGCAGCAAAAGAAAAAAAATCTCCAGCAAGTAGTCTGGGCTGAGGGGACATTACGGGACAATAATGTTTTTCCCTCAACCATTCACAAGGCTCAGTGTGAGAGAGAATCTGAGCACTAAGGGGAACCGCCCGCAGCCGCTGTATCCAAGGAGACATCGGCCTCATCCCACGCCTGTCTCCTGCCTCTGAGGGGCCCAGACCTGCGACCTGCCAGCGTGTTGAGCATCTCATGAAACGCGCAAAGCCATTAACACAAACGCACTGTCAGGGTTAAAACAATGCAACCCTCGGCGTGCCTGGCTCTGAGCCTGGGAAGAGGACGTCCAAGCCGCCGGCCCTCAGACCTTGCTAAGGGGCACTCAGGGCTGGAGCCCCAGTGCTTTCAGCAAAGGCTCCAGGAGCCCCAGGACAGCCCCTCCAGACAGCGGCAGGAGCAGGCACATACGAAGTGAAAGGAATGGAGGGGCTAGAAAGGGCCCGTGGATCCTGGAGGGAGCCCCCTGCACGCTCTCCACACGCGGCGGGCAGCGAGCAGTGACCTTGCAGTCGTGGATCCCATCAGATTCTGAAATGTTATGTTTCCCGTGGAATTCGAGAAGCAGAGTTTGTTTGTCAGTCTGCAGTGAGGCTGGACGGGAGCCTCTGGGGACCGGGGCACCTGGGTTCCTGGGGTTAAGCAGGTGGTCTGCACCCCCAGAAGCAGGACGGTCTCCTCAGGGGACACTCACCGCACTGAACTAAGGACACCGCACCTAACCCCCAGCCTCAGGGCCCCTGGCGGGGGGCATCAGCTGCCGTCCCTGAAGCGGAGCCATGAAGTGTGTTCTTCTCAAACAGAACTTGAGTAAGGACAATGGATCACTCAGGGAGCTACATAAACCTGACTGAATTTATCTGGGCCTCGAAAGAGTAAGACCCCAGACCTGGGCTTTAGATGAGGGTGACTTTAAGAAAACATCCAGAACTTGGGGCCACCCAATGAGCCCCTTTTCAAGCCAGGCCCCGCAGCACTGCGCCCCCAGCAGTGTGCCCGCCGCTGCGCGGCCAAGCAGGAGGGCGGGCGCCTAGGGCGAGGCGCCCCACGTCTCTGCCCGCCGCCCACTGCACTCCCTTCCCGCTGCCCCCAGGCCCAGCCCCGCACCACCCGGCGCCTTCCCGGCCCCCACCGAGGACCTGCGCCCGCCCTGCCTCCTGCCGGCGGCCACGAGGGGCGTGGGTGGGGCCGGGCCCCCTTCGCAGCGCCCGCCGCAGCCGCGCCCCCCACGGCGCGCCCCCCAGCAAGCTGCCCCGACTCCGGGCGCAGCGCGACCCCACGCCGGCCCGGGGCGCCCTGGCCTGACGCAGAGAGGAAACCTCGGGCTTCTGGGGAAGCGGCGGCTTCGGCCGCGCGTCTGGGCCTCGCCGCGGCTCGCGCGCCGCCCTGTGGCCCTGAGGGGTGCGCGCCCCGCAGCGGGGGACGCGCCGGGCGCCGGGCGCGGGGCTGAGGCCGGGCGGCCCCGAGGGCGGAGGCGCGGCTGGGAGCCCAGGGCCGGCCGGGTCGGCCCGGATGACAGGAGGCGCCTCTCGGGATCCCCCTGTCCGCACGTCACCGCCGCTGAGTTCTGTCGCCTGAGATCCGTGCTGCCCGCGGGAGCAGCTCGTCGCGCGCACACGCCGGGGGCGAAGTCTCCGTGGAGACCTTCAATCGCAGACACCCTCGCGCGGACGGCCCACCAGGGCAGGACAGCCCCGCCCGGAGGAGACACACAGCCGCGCGCAGGCCGCCTCTGGGGGCGGCGGGAGGGGGTGGTGGGGGGCTGCGGATTGGGGGAGGCGCCCGCTGGCCTGGGGCTCTGAGGCGCTCGGGGCCTGGCTCAGGCTCACGGGTCACGCCGGGAGGAAGAAAGTGTCCGCAGCTCCTCTCCAGCCCGCCCCACACAGCCCCGGCCGGCGCCCAGGCTCTGGAGGGGCGGCGGGGCAGAGACCTGCAGGGGCCCGGGGGCCGGGGCCGCTCCTCCCCGCTGGCCCGGCGACCAGCGTGGGCACTGAGTGAGGACTGTCCCTCGGGAAGGACCCGCTGCGAGTGGCTGGCGGTGCCGTGGACCGGCGCCACTGGCCCAGCAGTTACCAAAGTACTTATTTTGGTCAGTGGCCAAGGTCCCCCAGGCTCGGGTGACGCTGACACACAAAGAAAGGTCTTCGGGGACACGCTGTGTTTTGCCACGGTCCTGGGCTCCCGCCGTGCCCCGAGCAGGTGGCTCAGGCCGGCAGCTGCTCAGGGGGGACTGGAGCTCAAAGACGCGCGGCCGCCGGAAGCCTGCGGCAGGGGTCTTGCTAGGTCTCCCGCCTGCCCTGCGGGGCACTCACTCAGGGCTTTATAAAGGGGACTAAGGGGCTTGCTGAGAATCATGGTGCCCCTCCAGGCATTTCACTGCGCTCCCGTCCCCTGGAGCTACTGACATGGGGAGGACCTGACACCAGAGGAAGAGCAGGGAGCGGCCTCTCGGAGAGGACTGGTGCTGCGCTCTGTTGCTCGGGGAGCGCCGCGCGTGAGGCATTAGCACATTTGTTTATTTTAATGCCCACACAGTCCCCTATTGAGGGTTAGAGAAAAGATGTTTCATTTTTCTTGTTTAAGACGGACTCTCAACTCCAGTTTTTCCAGCGCCAAGACGGCACTTTCTGCAGGCACTCACACCACACCACTCCAAGAGAGACCATCTCCAAGAGGAAGAGGCTGAGGTAATCACCAACCAGGTCAAGTTGCTCCCGCTTGTCAGCAGTGAAGTCAGGTAGAGAACAAACTGTCTTTCCATTCCCAGGCGACGAGCTGACGAAAGCATCTAGCCTCGGTGGGCCACTGGAGGGCACCCTTGTCCCTCGGCAACGCCATGGCCTCCCTGGGTGTCTGCCTGTGAGGCCTGGAGGAGGAGGTGCCGGGGAGAGGTCCCCCACTTCTGAGGACATACAGCCTCTACATCCGCTTTCCACAAACTACGGGGGCTCAGTAATAAAGTTTCCCTTGGAGCGAAGAGGGAATTGAGTTCTGCAGCTACAGATAACTTCGAAACTTGAAAAGATTTTTTAACTCACTAGAAACTATTTCTAAGGACTTAAGGAGCCCCAGGTGGAAGCCAATAGCTCATTCTGTCTCCCTCAGAACACATTTCTCCTCTTTTAGGCAGAGAGGATTAGTGTGTGAATAATCAGCCAGGCCCCACCTAGAGGAGAAGCAGCGTGTGAACTGCACTCCTGAGAGACTCTAAATCCATCCCCGCCACCGCCACGGCCAATGCAGTGAGCATTTAGTAGCCACCAGCTGGATACATAAACAAATGAACAAATTTGGGCCATGCGGGCGGCAACCCCACCTGGCCCAGCCACCCGCCCACCCGGCCTGTGCCTCCCCACTGTGTGTCAGTGTGATGTCAGGCACAGAAAACATCACAAATTATCCTTTTCCTCTTGGCAGTTTCAGACACAGCTTCATTCTCACGGCAGAAGCTGAGAGACCGAGGAAGCAGGAACGGCTGTTATCACGAGTCCCAGAAGAAACCGAGCCGCGGAAACAGAGCGGGAACAGCGCTGGGGAGGCACTAATGGGAACGTCTGCTCGTGTGTGTAATTGTCACCCACCAGTGGCAGCGGCTCGGCCCCCACCTTAATTAACGCCGAAGCAGCCGGGCCTGCAGGTCTTTCTGCAGGGATGCGGGAGAGGACAGGAGAGGCAGGAGAAGCACAGCCGAGCGCCCTAATGGGCTCTTCACAGCCAGGCTGATTGACTGTTGAGAAAAGAAGGAACGGCTTGTCCCGCCACGTGGCCTGTGCAGGTAATCTGTGACAGCCGTGGGTCACACACCTCGTTGTCTGTCTGACAAGGATGAGGAGCAGCTGTGGCAGGAACAATCGCAGACCGGCTTGTTCAGACTGAACGGCGGGGCCCGCGCCTGGGCTTCGGGGCTGGGCAGAGAGGAGGCTCCTGCTCACGCGCCCGTGCAGCCCTCCCTGGGGGTGTCGAGTCCTGGCTGCAGCAGGACAGAAGCGCCATGTCCTGAGAGCCGCCCTTAACCTCCTCCTGGGTGCCAAAGGTAGGCGGGCGCTGCACCTCCTTCCCCTCTCCTCTCGCACTGCGGGGCTGCGATCCACTCAGGTCCAGCGAACATCAGAGGAGCTCGCGTCCAGCACGCGCCCTGCCCGACAGCGCCGTGGCTGCTGGGGCTGACTGGGCACTGAAGGCAGCTTGCAGTCAGTTCGGGTGGCGAGGATGGCACGGGGGCTGCACAGTGCACAGCCGCAGAGGAAGGGCAGTTGCTGAAAACCTGCCAGTCCATGGACAGGAGAAGAAGGAACGTCAGCGGCGTCTGCCCCTCAACCAAACATGCCCTCACCAGAGCCCGGGACAGGCTGTCTCGCCTGCAAAGCCCAGACCCTTCCCATCCCGCTCCCACACACCCATGCTGAGGGAGGGCCAAGCCTCCCGGGCCCCACAGCTGCCCCACCCACAGCCCCTGGAGGGTGGGGAACCCCAAGTTCTGTGAGCCCAACTTCATTCCACGTGATGATTTTTCTTAAGAAACTATGATCATTTTATTTCCTTTGGACATTAGAAAACATCCTGGACGAGGCATTCCGCCAGCGTTCTCGTCCTGCTGGTCAGCAGGGCCATCGCCAGCCTCTGCGCAGGTAAGTACAGGTGAACGCGCGTCCCTCAGACCAGAGCTCCCTGACACCTTCCTGCTGCTCCACTGTACTCAGTCCCCCGTCATCACCAGCCCCTCCTCCACCGGCCCCCACAGCCTCCTCCCCACCTCCTGTTACACACCCCCACAGACAGGCCTCCCCTACACGCCCACACGCGAAGCGCACAGGGACGTTTCACAACGGGGTCCCATGGCCTGGGGTCCCGGGGCCGAGTGAGCACTGCAGAGATGGAAACGAGTCTGCGTGTCTGGAGAAATCGCTCATCTCTGGCATAATGGATGCCCTCAGATCATCAGTGGAAGGAAGGAAGCACGCAGTGAATCAGATCTTCCTTGCCAAGAAGCTGCAGGGCGGCAGCTGCTCCCTTCCCTTGCCAGAGGCCCTGAGGGGCTCAGCCTGGGGCCAGGGTCTGCTGCCGGCTGAGCCAGCAGGAGGCCACCCCACCACACCAGCCCCTGGAGCTGCTGTGACTGTCAGCCCTGCTCTGAAATTCTGAAATCCTTCCCGCTGGGTCTAGACAGCTCCCCTGCCGGTGTCTGTCCTGTTGGTCTGGGTGGAAAGGAACCCAGACTCGGGGCGGGGGGGTGGGGGGGGGGGTGGTGTGTGATAAGAGCCCTGTGGAGCCCACAGCACACGCCAGAGCCCACGCACAGGGCCCAGGAGGGGGTGCTGGCACCAGCCGCTGACGGGCAGCAGTTCAGATGCGAACCCGGAGCCCTTCAGACGAGGGCGTCCAGACACGGCCCTTCCGCGGTTTCTCAGAAACAGGGACAGTTGACCTGGCAAAAACTTGACGTCTGAATGTTGCCAAAGGAGGTGTTCAGGGCTAGAACCCAACACCCTTCCCTGCCAAATGCGTTCAGACTGTGACCTGCTTTCCTCGGACGCCGCAAGCTCTGTTTTCTGAGGGGGCGCAGCTGAACCTGGGCAGAAGGAACTGAAAGAATGAGCGGCGCCCCCAGTTGATCTGGCAGCATTTAAAGTTGAAGACGGGGCCAGCTCAACACTCTTCTGCTGCCAGAGGAGCATCCGGGCCAGTTATGCCCAGTCCCGCTGCCCCGGCTGCAGGAGCCAGGGGGGCAGCCTGGCTTGGCTGAGCCCTCCTGACCACCCAGCGCCCACCCCGGTCCTCTCCCGTGCCCCGTGCATCTGCTCTGAGCTTCACTCGTGACAGCGCCCCCGCGGGGCCCAGAGGGACCCCTGGGCTGGGGCGCCCTGGCTACCGCCCTCTTGAAGATTCACAACACTCTAGTTATAAGCCCAACCTAAGAAGACCTGTGGTTAAAATCTTTTTACTTTTAAATTCTTTTCTATATTTTTAGTCCAGCATTTTGAAATCGCAGCTGACCGATGAGGAAAGACAAGTGAGACATGTTTCTGTTTTTTTTTTTTTTTTTTTATTCTTGGGCAAGAACCGATTCGCAGTCTTGAAGTACTGGTAGACTGCAGCGGTCAGGGCTGCTCCCACACGGGGGCCGGGGGGTGCAGGAGCCAAAGGAGACAGCACGGGAGGGGCAGGCTGGGAGCCCATCTGGCTCTGTGCCGGAGGCTGCCCCTAGGTTTGGTTTTGTGACCTGAGGCACGACGGGCTGAGACTTGGTTAGTGACACAGGCCACGGGGACAAGAGAGCTGCCCGCCTGGCGGCCTCCTGGTTTGATGACTCGAACACCCTGGAGCCACTTTTGCAGAACAACTACGACCACCGCTGGGAATCAGTGCTCCACAGCACGCACTTTGGGAAAGGCGTGCCATAGCAGCACGCGCCTGCGCGACGGAAGGCAGTGGGGAGATGGCTCCAGACACTAAACACAGAAATTCCATACAATCCTGCTCTCCCCGTTCTGGATATTTACCTGAAAAATACAAAAAAACTATTTTGAAGCTTCTTTACCCCCATGTTGATTGCAACAACCCTCAACAGCCAAGGACTGGAAGCCAACGCCACTGACAGATGAGTGGAGAAAGAAGGTGAGTCTGCACGCACCCGGGGACGATTCCTCATCTCTAAGAACGGATGCGGCCCTGCCATTTGTGACAACACAGGCGGGCCTGGCAGGTGTGCACTAAGTGAAGTAAGGCAGGTAGAGAAAGTCAAATACCCTGTGATTTCACTCATGTGCAATATGCAGACTCCAGACGATAAAATGAGCTGACTCAACAAAAATTAATGTTGGACTACAAAAATTAAGGGATATGAAAAAGAGGAAAGAAATAAACAGCAAAAGCAAACACACATACTTAAACGGTAAGTAAGGCAGCACACAGCTCCGGGCGGGACCTGGGGGTACTGGGTGGAGGCCCCCACACGGTGCCCACCACCAGGTGTTTCCATCAGATCACAGGGTGGCTCCTGAAGCCTCATCAGAACCACACAGTGACCACTGAGGGTGGATGGCGTGGGCACAGGCTCCGGGACCACCTACAACCTGAAGGGGGGAGGGTGGGGGAAGGGAGGGAGGGAGAGAGGGACCACACAGGCCTCAGATCTGCCCTTCCCTCAAGTTTAATGATCACTTTTAATGATCACTAGTTAAAGCAGATTTGGAATGGGAGCCCCCAAGGGTATGAGAACCCTCTGGCCTGCAGGCCTGGGCTGGAGCTTGCATTCCTGGCCCTGCCCTGACAGCACTGTGGCCTATAACACTGCTGTGCAGGGGCAAGGCCTTGGGAAACGGCTCTTAGTCGGAGAGTCTAGGGGTCGTTGGAGACAAACAACTCATTAGTTAATGTTGTTTATCAGAAATTTGGGGGACAGAGGATTCAAGGGGAAAAAACTCCTCTAGGAAAACAAGTCTTTATGGAGGTTCTTAAATCTTTCTGGCATTTGCCCTTGGGGCTGCCCATATCAGTGCAGGCTCTCCTGAAAACGGACTCAAGACAGGATTGGATGCACCACAGAGGCATGGGGGGAAATGCCTAGAAGGACAAAGGGGAGCAAAACTCAGGGGGCAGTCAGAGACAGACCCCTATGAGAAAGAAGGAAAGGACATTTGGGTGGGAGGAGACCCCACACTCAGCAGGAAGGTTCTGGATGGCCAGACGTCAGGGTGGGAGTCTAGTCTCTCGGAGGAGGGCCTTGTAGCAATCCTGTGCTTGGCTGTGCCTTTAGGAAAACTCAACTTATAACAGGCAACATGGGGTGCAGGCTGAGTCCACGCTGCAAGCTGGTGTCCAAAGCCTTGTGATTAATTCTGAGCTCCAGAAGCCCTGGCTGTGTTCAGAATGCCAAGGGTCTGAACTGTGCTGCTCCCACTGGGCTGACCACAACCCCGCACTGAATCTTTCCACCTCTGGCCCGACTGTGTGACCCCATTAGATGGATGGCACTGCTGAAGGGACAGGGCTGCCTGCCCTGTAGCTGGGACCTGCCAGCCCCACTTCTCCAGGCTGCTAGTCTTCTGCACCACCTGGCCAGGCCCACCGGCACGCCTGTGCGTAGGCTGCCGCTGCACCCTGAGACACTTAAGCACATTTAAATGGTGATGAGTGTCAGTGGGAAAACAGATATTTTATCCTCAGGCAGGAAGGCGATGGCTCTTTGCTTAATGGACAAAAAGAGAGGAGAGCGGGGTGTGATTCCCTAAGTGAGCCCATGGGTGATTATTAAGGAGATACCCTCCAAGGACTTTAATTCTCCCCTTTAAGTTGGAGTCAAGGGGAAGTTCTTATCCCAAACCACCTGTGCCTCCTGTCCCTTGCATGTCCTTCCTCCCTTTCCAACATTCATACTGAATCTCTTGTGACTTCATATGGACACTATAGGGGAGCAAACATGTGCCACCCCAAAAAAGTCATTCTGGAAAATGGTTGATTTCATGGGAGAGGCTCTGAAGGCTGGGTGGAGGTTACTTTTTTTATAAGATTTATTTTATTTTTATGCATACAAGAGCTGGGGTACAGACCAGAGGTGCGAGGGGGTGGGGTGGGGGAGATTCACCAGAGACAGAGTGGGGAGCAGAACAGGTGGATCTACTGAAATCCACTGCTGAGGGGAGCAGCAGGGAGACAGGCGAGGTCTGTTGTGCCGTGCGGGTAGCTCCCTGGCCGGGGATCGAACTCGTGCTGCAGAGGCTGCGGACAGCTTCATAGGTTCCATCTTAACCCCTTGCACCACCAGGGAAGCCCTGGAGGTTACTTTTGAAAAAGACATGTACACTGCACGCACCACCCCCCACGCCCCCACCCAGGGCTGGAGGGAAGGCCGGCACAGTGGAGAAGCTACAGAGAACACCAAGAAGGAGGCTGAGGACCTGGACGGGTAGTGGCGGAGCAAAGGTCAGTAGCGAGACGGGCGGCCGGGAGGCGGAGGGAAGGATGGGCTGCACACAGCAATGGGCCCTGCTCATTCCCTCATTGGGCTCTGACGTCTCTGCGGGGCAAGCCTCGAGCATGTGCCACGTAGCCGCTGATCTGGGGGCGGTCACTGGGTCACTGACACACACACACTCAGATAACACCGAGGAGATGCTTGTTTATCTTCTGTGGGTTACTACCTAGACAGCAAAGGTCATTAAATTTTATTAGATGTGAGTATTGCTAAGAAAATGAAGAGATTTGAATAATCAGACCAGGGCTCTTGTTTTCATTACCAAGGACTGTGGTGACTGCACTGCCAGAATTCTAAGATCTTCTGTGGTGTGTGTGACAACGGGGTGGTCACTGTTCTAAAGACTCTAACTCAGATTTATGGCCCTATTCACAAGAACAGCAGTTTTCCCCATGCCTGATAAGAGCATAAGCCCATCTCAATGAATTTGAAATGAATTCTAGAATCTTAAAAGCACACCAGAAAGTACATAGTGACTAAGCACATTAAAAATCCAATAGACAGAGAGATTCCACCAGCGTACAATAAATCTCAAGTTGTAGTCAAAGGCCCAAAGTATTCAAAATGGTTTCTTTAAAAAATTTTCATGACTAAAAGCATTCTCCGACTGCCCCAGACAGGGTTTCTTGACCTCCCGAACAAGACCTCTACCACAGCACCACACATGCCATAAAACTGACTGGAGTCTCCATCAGCCTCCTCGCATCTGAGTTTGAATTTCCTAAAAATCTGGCTGGAATTGATGTTTAATAAATATTGTATAAATGGAACTCTGTGTTCATTGCTTCCCCCAGAATAATTTTGGACTGTCAGAAGAAGGGATGTGTTGAGAGAGAGAGTTTTAAAATGCTTCTGTTCTTTTTACCAAGAGCTACTGCCAATTTAAGACTTATTCCTTCATTTAGTCACGTAATTTCTTCTCTCCCCTTCAGGGCTTCTCAACCTCAGCACTGGAAACATTCTTTGGTGGGTGGAGGCGTGACCTCTGCCCACTGGATGCCAGTGGCACCCACCCCATAACTGTGTCAATCACAGAAGTCTTCTAGACATTGCAACTGTTCCCTGTGGGTGACCTCAGCCCGGGTTCAGAATCACCGCATGTGTCTGTCTGGGATTTGAAGGTGCAGAAGAAAAGGGGGGAAGCAAACCCTGAGGCAGCAAACCCTTGTCTAAGACCGGCCAATGGGCGTGTCTAAGGTGACCCGACTCCAAAGAGAGAAGCAGCCTCCGGCCCCATCCGGCTACCTGGGGAAAAAGCTACTCTCAAGGCTGTGGTGGGCATCCTTGTGACGAAACATCAAGGCAGGCTGAGGCTTCTTGGCACGCACAGCCTGGGAAGCGCGCGGAGGCTGGCTGGTGCAGAGCAGCACGGGAAGGTGTCGCTCAGCAGAAGCTAACTGGCACTGTGAGCCTCTCCAGCTGCCTTGCAGTGACTGCCACGTCACATCACTTCTAGACACAGTCCTCTGAGCCTTCCCTCAGATGTCTCTCCCCGGCTCTACCGCAGGGCCCGCCTGGCTGTGCCCGCTGAGCACTGCACTGTGGCCCACAGGGGCCGCCATCAGCTGACTGTGCCAACAGGCGCACGATTTCTTTTTAAGTTTCCTCTTAGAAATAAAGCAGGACTGTCATGATAGCCCTCATCCTTAGAATGATTTCAATGGGTTATATTATTTAATATTGCCAACGACACGGGATGAAAGAATGCAACAGCTCACGTTGAGCATGTGGGGACCGCTCACGTCTTCCTCTGCATTGTTATTTATAACAACAATCACCTTAATTATTGTTAATGGAATAATTCCCTTTGGTCAAATTTTAATTTAGACATCGTCCAGCTACAATTCAATCTTACACAGATGGCGCCTCCGTACCACCAAAGTGAACATTTGACAAAAGTTGTTACTTGAACCTGAATACATCTGCTAGAAGGCGTTAATCACCTTGTAGTTTTGACAACAACGTAAAAGTGGAATTAAGGAGAGGAATAAGCTGAAAGCTATGTGTTTGGGGCTGGTCACTGAAGATGACACTGCATTATAAATAGAGGATTCTGCCCTTTAATTTTCATCTTTCGAATCTCTTTATCTCGTAGTCAAATGTTTGCATGAATCAAATCTTAAATATGGAGAAGCTTTTTTATAAAAAAAAAAAAAAAGCACAAATGTGCAACACAGCATTTTCTAGAGACCAGAATGAATGCAGAACAACTTCCTAAACTGGAGTTAGAGCTGAAGTGACAGGCTCTGCACCATTTCCTGGCCCAGACTGAGCAGGAGAGGTCACGCTGTCCCGAGCACAGGTCTCAGTGGCCTTGGGTGCACTTTCATTTTGCCGCAGGGGAAGGAATGAAGAAAGAGCTGCTCTCCGCATTCTCCCGGGCAGGGCGCTCATCACTTGGCAAGCCTGCTGCGTTCCTCCTTCCTCCGGCTGGAGGCAGCCCACGCAGAGCTGGGCCTCAGCGCCCTGGGGCTTCTCTGTGAGTTTGGGGAGCTCCGCAATGATACTCCAGCAGTGGGGAGCTGAGAGCAGGCGGAAGGCGGCACCCAGGGCACACCGGCCTCCGTGCGGTCAGGGCTTGCTCACCATCACAACCCCAGCTCCCCCACACACCTCCTGCCAGCACCCCCACACACCTCCGTGCAGGTGCCCTAAGCCTGGTCCCTTTCCTTCCTCCGGGCTGCCTCAGGGGCCTACAAAGAAGTTCCTTCCCACCACCGCCCTCTGCCAGCCTGTGGCCGCCGCTCCTCTGATTACAGCCCACATGAGTCCTCGAGTTTCTCCCTTGCGGATGCTCAGGGACCGTGGCCGCCTGCGGTTGAGGATCTCCGGCCTCGGAAGGGGGCTTAACTCCAGGAATTCTGACAGGCTAAAGGAAGAATATACCTTTCCTAGCAGCCAGAGGAAACCTAATACCTGACTTTCACAGTCATCAAGGAAACTGCTCGCCATGATCTAAGCACAAAGATGGCCTCAAATCCCATTCTTGCTGGGAGGTACAGTTTCAGAGAAAGACACGCTGACCTTGTCTGTGTCTTAGGAGAAAGGGCGAAGACACCTACACCAGATCCCGGGGAGCATGAGAGGCCCTTGGTGGGAAAGAGAGGATGTACATTTGCCACAGCTTCTCGACCCACTCGTCTGCTCCGGGGCACTGAGGCGCTTTCCACGGCTTCACGACAGTAATGAGCATGGCAATAAACATGGCAGTGCAGGTTTCCTTTCAAATGAGTGGTTTCTGAAGTTTTTGGATAGATGCCTAGGAATGGCATTACTGGGTCACAGTTCTGCCTCCCCAGGGGCTGGGCCAGTCTGCACTCCCAGCCGCCGGCAGGAGGCTCCCTTTCCCCACAGTCCTGCTGCTTCCAGTCTCTCAACATGGGCCATTCTCACAGGCGTGAGGCGGTCTCTCCTTGCGGGCCCGGTGTGTATTTGTCAAGTAAGAAGTGATTGTGGACGTCCGGCATATGCCTGCAGGCCATCTGAATGTCTTCTTTGGGGAAGAGTCTGTTTAGTTCTTTTGCCCATTCCTTGATTGTGTTTTTTTGGGGGGCGGGGGAGCTAGGTTTTTATGAATTCTTTGTATATCTTTGAAATCAGTCCTTTGTCAGACGCATGGTGTGAAAATTATCTTCCCCCACTCAACAGGAAGTCTTTTCATTTTAGTGGTCTCTATCGCTGTACAGACCCGTTACAGTCTGACGCATGTTCTCCTTTATTCTCCCGGCCGTTGGAGACCCCTAAAGGCTGCATGAAGGCTATGTCCTGCAATGTTTTGCCAATGTCCTCTTCTATGTATTTTATGGGTTCGGGTTTTACATCCAAGTCTGAGCCATTTTGAGCTGACTCTGGTGCACGTATGAGACCGGGATCTCGTTTCGTTCTCCTGCACGCAGCTGTCCAGTTTTCCCACAGCCCTTATTGGAGAGGCTGTCTGTTCGTTCATGTTTTTGGCTCCTTTGTCACAGATGAACTATCCATATGTATGTGGGCTTATTTGTGGGCTCTCAATTCTATTCCATCGACCTGTATGTCTAGTTTTGTTCCAATACCAGGTTGTTTAATTATTATAATTATAATACCTGCGGTCGGGAAGTGTGATACGTCCACTCCCTTTCTTCTTTGTCAAGATCACTTCTGCTATTCTGGGAACACTACTCAGTGATCAAAAAAGAGACACGCATGCCGCTCATGGCAACATGGGTGGGGCCTGAAAGGATAACACTACGTGAAATAAGTCAGGAGAAAGATAAATACTAGATGGTGTCACTAATATGTGGAATATAAGTAACTAAATTATAGTCAGATAAAGAAAAACTAAGCCTTGAAAGCTGACAACAGAACTGAGCGCCAAGCAGGGGAGGGAGCAGGAAGGGAGAAGAAAGGGGGAGAAAGCACAATGGTCCACGGTGCTGGAATATGGGTGAGCTCGTGGTGGGTGTCCAATGGTGGTAATACCTGGTGGGGTGCCCCACTGTCACCTCAGTTAAAAATAAATTATATTTTTAAAAGGAGAGATGGCAGAGTACACAATGTAATTCCATTTAGCTGTAAAAAGGATGAACTCTTACCATTTGCCACAACATGGATGGAACTGGGGCAGGGGTATCAGGCAAAGTGAAATAAGTCAGAAAGAGAAAATCAAATTCCAGGTGATTCTGTTCATATGTATAATGTGGAGAAACAAAACAAAGAAACTGACAAAGCTAAACCGAAGCAAATCCTAGAAATATGGCAGCAGAATAGAGGCTGCTGGAGAGGGGGGAGGTGGGGTGGGAACCAGGCAGGGAGGGGGCCAGTGGTCTGGGGGGGGCTGTGGGTGCTCTGATGGCAGGTGGTAACACACACCTGAGGAGCTGAGAACCTAGCCCCCATATCATGCACAGTATTGTAAACCAGTGCCCGCTCAATAAAGGAAAATAAAGGAGAGAGAGAGGGAGGGAAGGAGGAAGGGAGAGAGACAGAGACACAGAGACAACGAGAATGGATGTGGAAGTGAAAATGTTTAGACTTTTGGACACTTCTCAGTGCCCACCGGGGCAGTGCGGGCCAAGCCAGCAGCAGTGCCGGGGAGTGGCCACCGAGAGATGCTATCAGGACTGAATCTGCTTGTGTGCATGATGTTTTCTTAGAAATTCAAGTTTGGGTTACATGCAATTTCGTGACATAGTTGAGTTTCAAACAAAACATGTTGACGTGCGCTTGCCAGCCTGCATTCACGGCCAGTGTGTCACTCTGATCCTCAAGGAGGAAACAACACAGGCCAGGACGGGGCCTGGCTCGCCGTCACGGGCAGGCAGATGGTAAATGCAACTGGGAGCGCCAGCCGGGTTTGTGTTTGCATAAAGAACCCAAACTAACGCTGCTTAGTAGCATTTCAAGAAATTGGATACTGAGAGTTTTTGAATGTTAAGGCGATTCTGCCAAAACCATCAGGCACTGGAAATGTGGGATGACCAAGCCCAAGGGGGAAAGCTGTAAAACAAGACTGGCTGAAAGCAAAGATGGCGCCCAGGCTGGCCCGGTGAGGAACGTGTGAGCGCCACGCACGGGCCAAGGCAGGGTCCCTCCCACAGCCGCCCAGGGCAGGCGTAACAAAGTCTAGGGTTCCACTCCACTAGGACAGAGAAGCTCCCAGGTCTAAGGGCCACTCTCTTCTGCCTTTTCCTCTAAAAGGGGGCGCTCTCATGGAGGGGAACCCCGGGTCCAACTAGGACGTGAGTGACGCCTTCAGCTTCTTAGGTCACTTTACTATGAGTGTCTTTTAATGGAAACAGAATGTGTTTCTCACCACATGAATGTGATCTCATTTAGGCTTCCAGCCTTGCCACTTTCTAGCCTTGCGATTGGAAGCAAGTGACAGGATCCCTACCTGCATTGCTCCCTACCTGCGTCACAGTATAAATAAGGGCACGCAGGACTGTTTCATGTGTCTCAAATCATTCTCTGGGGGTTACATGGAGACCCAGGGTCGCTGTGGGGAGCACTTGGTAACTCGTTTCCTGCTACCCCGCCACCTTTGTCCCCAGGACTGTTCTATTTCAATGTCCGGGGGACAAAGGCAAGGGAAAGAGGGCGGTAAGCATGGCGACCGCCTCAGGAACAGGGCTGTCAGTTATGCTGAAATTCAGCCAGCCTCTTCCCGGGGGGTTACACCCCACTGCTGCCAGTGCTCTTGGCAGCCTTCTCTCACTGAGGGAGGAGCACTGTAGTGCTTAGTTCACCTTAGTGTTCAGCTAATTTAGCATTAGAGCTTTTTAAAGGATGGAGAGCTCTATGCTCCATCGGCGCGCAGGCCCTTCCTTCAAGGCGGTTACAGTCTTGAGAGAGCAGCTCTTAAAAGTTCCCAGTTCACACAGGGAACAAAGGCTTTTTGCTTTTTTCCTGAACATAATAACCCGTAGGTGACATCAGATCAAACCATGTCTCCTTCCATTTTTAAGACCAGAGTCCAAAATTTCCACACAGTGTGCCATTCCAGAGCCTCAACAAAGCTTGCGCCAGCGCTGGAGAACAGACAAAGCTCCTTCCTGAGGAAAAAGCCAGCTCCTCGGGCTGCAGCTCTGCCTCCAGCTTCCCTCCACCTCAGGACGGGGTAGCCCCTGCCTCTTTCAAGGCGAGACAAACTCTGCTCTGTCTTCCACAGCCTCAGCCTGGCCCTTTCCGGAACTGAGAACACCACCCCTTGACTCCCACTGAAACCAGCACACCGCGGGCAGGAGCCAGAAGAGTCGCAAAGCAGACGCAGCCTTGACGGTCCCATAAGGCAGAGGCAGCCAGAGAACACAGAACCACCAATGGGGCTTGGAATTATTCCCTTGAAGTTATTTAAATAATTAAATGGGGGCTGAGAGAGAAAGAGAAGACATTTCCTAAGAGCAGCAGTCAGGGAAAGTGGTCTTTCAGCCTAGAAGGAGTCAGGAATGCGAAGGGCTAAGAAAGAGCAGGCCAGGCGGGGAGCCCCGGGGTTAAAGGTCCCAAGGACAGAGTCTGCCACCAGGGGAACCCCCGAGCACTCTGTGAGCAGCATCTGGGGAGGCCTGGACGGGCCTGGCTCCCTCACTGGCAGACCAGGTGAGCCCGCCTCCTCATGCTTCCAGGCCAGGACGGCTGCTCTGACCTGAGGGTTTCAGAGGGGAAAGGTCTCTCTAGGGCACCCAGGTTCCTTCAGTTTTCCCTGAAGACGCCAGAGGGCAGGCAGGGCGAGGCAGGGCTGCCTTGGGCCCACTTTGGGGCGAGAACCGCCCCTCCCCTTCCGCTCTGGCCTGGCCCCTTGAAGTGGCTTCCCCTGTCAGCTCACCAGGCTCTGCCACCGCAGACACCAAGTCTGGTGACGTGGTGGCGCTGCCTTGCCTGGGCGCTGCGAGCCCACTCCCCAGAAGGGCTGAGGAGGGAGGGCCACTGCCGTCTGCCCCAGAGGATCCAAGACCGCTCCAATACAATTAGCAGAGGCCAAGCTGCTCCCCTTTGTCCC